GTAGTTCTGGGTGGGAGTTGATGGCCTGTATTTCTAATAAGCTCCCTAGTGGTGCCCATGGTGCTGGCATGTGGACCACATGTTGTAAAGCAAGGAACTAGATAACATTGAGGTCATTTTTTCAATACTAAGCATTTATAATCCTCATAGAAAAGTACACCTCAGGAGAAAAGAAAGTAGTTATATATGAGACATTCCTTGGGAAACTGAGAGTGTTTGAGAGTGCAAACCAAATTTGTGCAAACCAAAAGCATAAGCATTTCCTAGAAAAACAAGCAGGAATATTCTAAGATTCCCTTGGTAAATGCATATTTTTAAAGAATCTCCTCTAAATAAGGAAGATTTATTACTAAATACTTGTATACAATTATGTTTAATTATCCATTTTCATTAAAATATTTTTTCAGTACTAGGAATTGAACCAAGGGCTGCTTTAGCAGGGACCTACATCCCCAGCCCTTTTAATTTTTAATTTTGAGACAGGGTCCCTACTAAGTTGCTGAGGCTAGCCTCAAATTTGCAATCCTCCTGCCTTAGCCTCCTGGGTAGCTGGGATTATAGGGATGAGTTACCACACTTGACTAAAAACCATTTTCAACAATTGGAATTAATAGCATCCATTGCTTCAAGTTTAATAATTCTAAATTAAATTCAATATTTTAAGTGTTCATCTATTTTATTCAGCAAAATCTTCATTTACTTCAGAAACTTTTGAAGTACAGGCTTAATTTTGTTATTCTCTTACCTCTCTTTCTATGATCAGTGCTTCCAAACAGTTAATTATGTCTCTCAAGATATTTGGTCTTCTTATTCCTAGTGAAACCCAGGCTAGCAGCTTGATGCTGAGCTCCTAGAACTCAGTTAAGCAACTAGCTATGACATTGATATCTACTTCAGCAACCTGCTACAAGTAAGTCCCTTTTCATGATGTGAAAAGGGTCTATGAATCTGCTGGAGGAATTTACATTTTAAGTGTGTGTAATTAGTATAACATGCCCAGCAAAATTTGGTCATGGGAGAAGAAATAATGAAGAAGCAAGTCAGGTGTTCCTGTCAAGTGTATCTTTACATGTGTCCCTAATATTAGTCTTCCCATATACTAAATACTTTTATCCTAAAGCTGGTCCTTGGTAACTTCTCTTAAAGTCATGTGTATTTTCCAATTTGGAATTTCAATTTTATTTTGTGATACTTAACATATAAAATTTGAATAGATTCTATATCTATGTGCATCACCAGGTGAAATTATAATGGTGATTTTGACAAGGAAATTAAAGGAAGCACTATTATATTATTTAAAATCAAATAATCAAAATTGCAAGTTGTTGAATGGTCATAGGGTGTTTTAATAACATTTTTTTATTGTGCAAAGAAGTTTCAGTGACAGTGCTATCAAAAATTTGAAAAGATAACTGAATGTGGTGGTACATGCCTATAATCCCAGCTAGTTGGGAGGCCAAGACAGGAGGATTGAAAATTCAAGTCCAGCCAGAGCAACTTGGCACAAAATAAAATAAAATAAAAATTTTAAAAGGGGCTAGAGGTAGTTAAGTGGTAGAATACCCTTGGGTTCAAACCCCAGTACTTAAAACATTTTTTTTAAAAAAAGAACATTCATCTTTAAAATGCTTTGATTAGAAATGACATTAAATACTTTTCAGGCATTAAACCTGATATACAAAGTTATATTGATGGAAGTATATTCATATTTCTCAAAGTCATCTATATTCAATTTTAATATATTGCCCAAAATGGTGTATTTTACTTTCTTGTAATTATGTAATATAAAAAAAAAGTCTTCATCAAGTCCCCAAATTTCCTCCAGTTTATTTAAGTATGTCATACAAATATCATTATATTCTGTGTTGGGAAACACCATTATAAGTAATTTTTCCTCTATAAATATACTCTGTTACAAAATAGCTTCTAGTTTAATTTTAGACTAATTGATTACACATTCAACTTCATGTACAATTGCTATTACCCTCAGCAAACAATTGTCTACATGACAATTAGAAAATGTTAAACTAAAGTTACTTCTTCACCCTTTCCTTTTTCCTTATTTGAAACAGGGTCTCACTATGCTATCCAGGCTGGCCTCTAACTCCTGAGCTCAAGTGATCCTCCTGTCTCAGACTCCCAAGTAGCTGAAACTATAGGAGCACATTGACACCTGGCTTCTTGCCCCTTCTTCAGTGTCTCTTGAAAGTCTTAAAATATTATTATTCAAGGCTCAAAATGTTATTTTCCTTGACCTGGATGTTTACATATATATTCTGCAACAAACCATTAAGTACATTGTATAGTGTACATGAAAGGGTATATTTTATTCCACATTAACAAAGGTTTAAACCATTTGTTTTCTAAGACTAACAAAATCTGGCAATCTATAGGAATGTATTCTTACTTCCTGCTTATACTAGCCTTGTTCTTGTTACTCCCCAAGAAAACCTAATAAATTATTAACTGTCACTGGGCAGTTGGGAGAAGTCCTGAAAAACATGACATTTAATAATTCAGAATAGAAACATAGGCCTTTTTAGTTTCTGATACCCTGTTTCCTATATAAATTAATCAGATCAAAGGAATGCTACTAATCTCAACTTAAGAGTTATCAGTGGCTTTTCCAATCCATGTAAAACATGATATATGTATGTGGGCCTGAATCCAAAAAGCAGGATAAAACTAGCCATTGATATGGAAACTTTAATGTGGATTCTAAATATATTTATACCCATACCTTGGCAGAAATTCATTTCTTCTGCATCCCAGAAGTTGTCTGAAATAAGATCCTTTGGATAAAATTCAGACAATTTCAGTATAAATATGGATATGTATTTATGGAAAGGGAGAATTTCATTTACCTTATTAAATATGTCAATTACATGTTTATTCCAAGCCTGTATGGTATTCCATTTAAGATAAATGAGACACTGGCCTAATTGCTAACACTGTTCCAAGCTGATTTACTTGAATGATAATAAGAAAGAGACAAGCATGTTCCTGCTCTGACCATATCTACCATTACCAAACACGTGCCACAGGTTTCCCTTGCCTTTGTTAGCATCTATCTGTAGTTAGAATGAAACACTCTAGAGAGCTAGTGAAAGATTGTGCTCTATTTGTGTACAATGAATCGAAGAGCATTCCACTATCATGTATAACTGATTAGAATAAATTTTAAAAATTTTAAAGAATAAAAAAAGAAGACAGCTCACCCAGCCATCAACATACACACGTGAATTTACAGAGCAGACAACAGAGCTATTAATCGTGGCCCTCACATCTCACATGAGAGTTACATTGTAAATCACTTAGCTTCATCACATGTCTTATTAGCTTAGGCCTTTGTTTTGATAAAGCATGTTTTATGTTTAATGAAATTATCAGTCTAGTCCACATTTCTGCAAGCCCAGAGGAAATCAAGAGTTAGCACTTCTGAGCCTTATCCTCCACCAAGTCTTGTCTCATTTGCTTCTTGTAAAAAGCATCTTTTGTTTTCTTTCTCCATATATCTTTGTTTTCTTTCCAATCTGCTTCCTTTTCTTTCCACAGGCTAGATTGCGCCCCCCGGCGGTTGGGAGTATTTTTAAAGGATTTTTCTTTTTAATCTCGGTCTCGGTACACTTATTCACTTTTGTCTCACTGCAATTTTACTTTGGGGGGCTGAGTCCAACCCGTTTCACAAACTAAGATGCAAAAGTCTCGATCACGAGCAAAACCACACTCCCTCCTGTGGCCAATTCCCTATTTGCTATTCTAACGAAGAGAAAGGCACCGGTCAAAAGGAAACAACTTGGAACTGGACAGCTGCAGAAGAGATTTCTTTGGTGCTCAGAAGCCAGAGCAGCTCCGGCAATTGTGCACCTTGTGTCGCTGTCCAGAACTCGGTGCTGAATATTAGACACTGGTTTCTCTCTCTCTAGGGTCAATCCCTCTGGATCCAAATAGGTTCCGCCAGAGTAGACTGAATTCATTTTTCTCGGGTCGGGGGTGGGGAGTTCCTTTAAATGTTCGCTTGTTTTATTTTCACGGAGAAGCATTCTCCCACAAAGATACATTGTGCATTTTATGGGAAAGTAATCGCACAGCTTTAATTCAATACCAAAGTGAAGAGCTCGAGTGAGAGAAAAATGGAAAGTTCAGGGTTAATGAAACCTGATCTTTCCTTTCTTGAGTCAATAAAACGTAATTTGGAACCCTAGACCCCAACCCCTTATTGATAAATGAAAACATGTTTTTTCAAAAATCATGTGACTAACCTCCCCCCCCCGCCCCCCATTAAACACTGTAATGGTGCTGATGGTGCTGGGCTATGCATAAAATTCTATCTGGGATAGAATTTTAGATGTTTTTTTCCCATTCCCAGTGTGAAACAGTAGAGAAGGAAGTAAATTTGTGAACTAAGGTGGTTTGAGTGATTAACACTTATTTTTTTAAAATATTGTTTTAACATTGTCTTGTAGACATGGTCATTTTGTTAGGTAATGAATCTGGGCAGTAGCAACTTACTCTCCTCCCACCCACCCCCGCTCCACCCCACGACTCTGTCCAGTTTGAAAGATCTAAGAGCCTTTTTTTCAAAGGACCAAAAGGACCATTATAAGAATCCCATGCCGCCCCACTTCTCCAGGATACAAGACACCAAAGTAAATATAAAGAAAATGGATATAGGGACGGAAAAGAGTGCTGAGCTTCCAGCCTTTGGCTCTTAGTAGTTACATTCAAATGGGGGCACTTCTGTTTGAGAAGTGAAAATATTTCTCACAGCTCCAGAATATACGGGGAGGCAGGGAGCAGAATTAACTGATCCCGGCAAAAGGTTCCTTCCTTTCTTAATCCCTTGCTGCTTATTTTAGCCGTTTCTCCACCCCGCCGGGAATACCATCCAGATCTTAGTCCAGGTAGATCTGACGTCAAGAGATGGCTTTCGTCGATTTGACGTGTAAACACTCATTTCCATTCTGTCTGGGAAGGGCTGGGGCTCCACTCAGCTAGAAGACCAAAGCGCTTCAGTGAGCGCTTGCCGCCGCCCAGCCTCTCCTCGCGCGCCTCCTAGCTCTTCACAGAGCTACTAGGAGCTAGGAGTGATTCAGAAACTGAGGGTAGGAAGATCCAGTCTGTCTGGCTTTTCCCTGTCTTGCATCTTTTCCCTCTCTCCTTCCCACTCTGTGCGAGAAGTGTGTGAGCCATGGAGCGAAGAGCCTGGACTCTGCAGTGCACTGTTTTCGCCCTCTTGTGCGCTTGGTGTGCTTTAAATAGTGCAAAAGCGAAGAGGCAATTTGTCAATGAATGGGCGGCGGAGATCCCTGGGGGCCCAGAGGCAGCCTTGGCCATCGCAGAGGAGCTGGGCTATGACCTTTTGGGTCAGGTAAGAGTTTGCACTTTCAAGAAACTTTCTGGTGTCCGTGGGGACTGGTGAGACTAGAGCGCGGTTTCCCAAGTGGGAGCCCCTGGTTGCACTCTCCCGCGCCTGGTGTGGTTAAGAGCAAGGAGCTTCTCTTGCTCTCTCCCTCGGCACGCTAGTGGAGGGAAAAGGCTTGCATTATTTACTGTTTGCGCAGCCAGGCAGAGGAAGCAGCAGCAGCTGGGTTGAGATTATTCTTACTGTTGTCCTCTCTAGAATTGAAATCCTTTCCCGCGCGGTTTGGAAGAAAAACCGGTCCACGCGTCTTCAGGGAACTTGAGATGCACACAGGCTCTCACCAACCGAGCGCCTCTGGGAGATGCGCTCGGTCGCCCGGGACTGGGCAATTTGCGTCAGGAGCCGGCCGTTTCCTTCTTTTCAATATGGCAGCATCAGATACAACTCCTAATGCAAGGGACCTAGCAAGCTTGGGGATGTCCGTCGGCAAGGTTTGGGGGCACGCCCAGAGCCCTAGGAGAGCACCAGCTTCTGGAACTAGCTATTCCGAGGTTGGGGGGCTGCGGAGTGGACAGGGAAACTGGCAGGAGATCAGGTGGGTGCAAATCTCTTAGCATTTTCAGGGAGCCCTGGCTTTTCACCGGGAACTTGGGGAGTCCCAGCTTCATAACTTTGCTCTGCTGGTGGCCCTGCAGGATCGACCTACAGAATTGACTGTGGGCAAAGGATCTATCTCCTTCTTATTCTTGAGCCAAATGCGTAATCGTTTCCAGTTTATGAGGGAAAATGACTCGCTATCCAAGAGGCGACTGGTTAATAGATTGCTTGGGGAGAGGGGTGGAAAAACGCGAAGGCATTAAGAAGGAGCCTGGTGAGCCCCAGGATTCCAAGTGTCCCCCAGGGATGTGACTTCTAATCTAGAGCTTTCCTTTTTCTTGACTCAAAATCAATCCCTTGTCCCTTGTCTTGGAATTGGTTCGCATCAAAGCGGGGGAGGAAGGAGTTGTAAAATATTTTGGCGCGTCCCCCCTCCCTTCCCGAGGTGGTAATTGAGACTCAGCTGAAGTCATGGATGAGTAATCAGCGTGGGCGTTGGCGATTCCATAGATCGACTCAGCTGGGGAATATGCCTTCCCTAGCTAGAGGCTTCATTCTCCAACTTTGTGAGCCCAACTGTCTTTGAAATGCCCGGTAGCGTTGCAGTGGATAACCAAATTGACTTCTCAGTGTCCCAGTAGCAGACTGAGCCTTTTGCCTTTCCCAGTCTTGCTCTTTGCCATGATCTGTGTTGAAGTTATTAGAAAGGAGGAAAAGAATCCAAGGAATACAGAATCTAGAAGAAATTGGTTCAGAAACAAATGATTGCAAACTAATGCAATTTGTGTGGCAATGGAAGTTGTGCTTGGAGTCTCAATACAGTATTCGTTAACTGAAGCAAAGAAGGTGGGAGGGAATATGGGAGATGTGAAAGAAGACTGCCCAAAGGAGGAAACATTTGCACAGGTTTAGGAAGAAGAGTAAGAAAATGCTAGGAGAAGATAATGAGACGGAGAAGGCAGTCAGAAAACTGCTTGTGGGAAACAGGGAGACACAAGGCAGCCTAGAAGTAGTCTGTTAACTACCTGCAATTTTGTGAAATTCCGTGAACAAACAGAAAATGACAGATGGAACTACACTGGTGAGCACCATGGGCACCATGGAAATCTTGTATGTCCTGTGGAAAAAATAAAAACTGAAATTTTAATTCTGTATTCCTTGGGCAGCTACTGGCAGGCTCAATAGCCCTGACAATTGTGTAGGAGATTGAAAGAGAAAGCAAAAAATAAATCTCTTCTTTTCTCACCTGTTAGTACCATACACACATCCAAACCTGGGAATATGAGAATTGCTTTTCAAAATAAATAAGCATAAATCCAAAAAGTAAAATGCAATAAATCAGTGTTCTTGGTAGGATCTTTGTGATAAGGATGGTATAGTCACAAAAATAATTTTAAAACAGTGAGTGGGGGGGCATCTATATTAACATATGATTTGCAATACTATCTTTCCTCTAGCCATTTCTAGATAAAATTGCATTACTAAAACAAGAGTTTTTAAATTATAATTCTTTGTAAAAAGAAACTGATAGTGCTTTTCTGGATCTGTTTATTTTATTTTGTTTAGCATTCCTATGATTATACCAATTTAATATTACTCTCCTAAAATATTATTGCCTCAAGATAAAACTAAGATGAAGGTAGAGACAAAAGCAGTTGAAGCAGAAACAGAGCCAAGAATCTGTGTTAAATCCTTATGGCTTCTGATCTTTCCCCCCCAACTCTGTCCATAACTTAACAGTTATGCTGCCTAAGGTGCAGTCTTAGAGCTGGGCGTAGCATGTCTATTAAAAAATTCCCTAGGTGATGAAAGCTACCTATTCCAATTTAAATAACATACTGCCTCTGAAATAAAGTGTTGTCAATTGTTTGGCTCTTGATTTAAAAAATGCAAGGTATCTAGAGAATTGGGGGGGCTTCAATTTTATTACTATTTTGTGTAAAGAGCTTAAAGAATAATGATCATATTTCTAAATGGACCAAAGATGTTGTTAATCACCCAGAGAAACATACATACCCTAAGCTTGGATCTGTCCTAAATATGGCATGCTCTTCTTGAGAGTCTTGAACTAGTAGAAAATCAAAAGATCACCAAATAATAGCTTATAACAATTATATCACTATGGACTTAATGACTGCATTTTATACCAACAATATCTTTGAATGTGACACCACAGTATAGAAAAGTCAGCTGACAGGATACATTTGACTCTGTGGGTATATTTAAAGAAACGTATACCTATAAAATATTTATATACACAACTCCCTTCCACACTCTCTCAACAAGTTAGTTCTTCTAAAACATGTGAAAAACAAGCATCATCAGTCCCCAAGTACACTTTGAACACAAGCAATAATGTCCTGAGATTCATTTCAAAGCCTTTATCAGTGCCTTCCTTGTAAAGAAAAAAGCTAAATTCAAGGAATAAGAAATGGACTTAATAAAGTTTCATGTCTCTAAGTTAGTTAGTTTTTGAACTAATCCATAAGTACTTACTTGTGAAAATAGATTTTTATTTTAATTTTTTATAGATTGGATCACTTGAAAATCACTACTTATTCAAGCATAAAAACCATCCCCGAAGGTCTCGAAGAAGTGCCCTTCATATCACTAAGAGATTATCTGATGATGATCGGGTAAGTGTTGTGCATTTGTCCACAAACCAATACCCTGAATTGTCAGCTTTCTTTATGATTTCCAATGAGAACAAAAAGCAGTTTGCAAATGTGATTCTTTTTACTCTATCATAATTGTTTACCTGTAATGTTTCTAGGTTTTTTTTCCCAAGTGCTTATAACTACACATATAATAGCAAGATGGGATTGCATTAGTTGCGCTGACTAAAGTCAATAACGTGTATATTCATTTATGTTATATTATTTACATTATGTTAATTATGTTGATTTTATATATAATTTTTTTATTTTTAAATATTGAAAATCAGTTGTCAGTATTGAAAATTTTTGAGAATACAATCAACAAATTTCAATATGCACCTGTTATGTAGCAAGTTCTTTAATACCATGTGAGTATGCCAAAGACATGCAAGACCTCTACTTTCAGTAGCATTTCAGTATGACTGAAAAACATCCATGTTTCCACTACTATAACCATACTAGTGTTTGTGAGAGAGCTCTAAATCCATGTGTTTATGAGGTAGATGACTCCATAAATATTGTACTATTTGATTCAAACTATTTCATCTCTTTTCTTCTTGTTTTATATACCTATTCATGGTAACAGCAAGAAATATCTAAAATGAATTTAGATAAAAATGGTAGGGACAATTTGAATGCCTGCATAATTTATCTATTAATTTTTTAATCTATTTTCAGTTCAGCAAGTGTATTATTAGGAAATGTTGACTACATTAGTAGTGTTGAAATTTGCATACACATTGTGGCCTCTTCTCAAGACTGTGTCATACTGAGAAAAGTTTATTTTGGTTAGCCTATATCTGTATACATCATTTCAGTTGTCTAGGACACCATGGGGAATAAGTGAGGAATATAAGAGATATAAAATGTTTTCTCAGCTTCCTAAGAGGAAAAAAAAAAATATGAGTCTCAGTGGTAGAACAGTTAAGGGTACATGGGATTCATGAAAACTGTGAAGGAACTTGATGGTTTATTTTGCTTGAAACTTATAGAATTTTTTAAAAATAAGACAAATTATAAGGGTAGTACATTATTGGGCCTTGGTCACCAGTGTTCAAATGTAAAACAAACAAAAAAACAACCTCACAGTAACAAACATCGCTGTATCAGGACCATGGATAGCAAGCTTGCAGCTCCAGTAACACTTCTTGCTAGCTCTTTATGTCAAAATGCACACTGAACTTCATTTTAAAATTTTTCTTGTTCACTGAAGTCTCCCTTTAGCCACACAAAGGCTGAGGGCTTATTGTTCTGGGGCTCTGGAAAGCAGATGGTTCTGGCACTCTAACTAGGCTTGGAGATTTCCTTCATTAATGCACAGGAGTTAAACTGACCTCCCCTCTCATTTTCATAGGAGAAATTGGTCAGCATCAAGTACACTGTTATTCTAACTCAGATTATCTCATGATAATGTACAGATGTCCCCATTCTGCTCTTCTTAACAGTTAATTATGAGGGACAATTCCAAGGCATGATACAAAAATCTAAGAACTTACTCCCAAGTAAAACTTCATAAATTTTTTATATAGTCCCATAAAAAATTAGTCCTAGAATAATTTAATTTTAAGATAAATCCTGAAACCACAGAATCTTGTATTAGAAGGTTGGACTACATGATTTTTAATGCTATTTCCAGATCAAAAGTATTATTTACAATTAAGTACATGATACCTATTATATACATAATAAGAAGACACTGCCAATTTTCTCTGTTACATTTGGTCTGCTCTTCTAGATTAATATGCAATTCTGAGTTAATGACATTAATCATAACACTGTTTCCTACAATTGGATGTTTATCTGATCAGATGGCAGAGCGCCTCTTTTTATATTCCATTTTTAAAATTGCCTTTGATTTTCATTTTATTGCTCTTTTTAAATGAGTGATAATACTCTTTCAAATCAGCCCTATGAAATGCAGCAATAGTCTATCTTTATAAGTCTGCTAATGAAATATCCAACTGTGAGTGACCCTCTCCCACAAAGATTAGTACTTGTTCCCTAGCAGCCAGCTCCCAAAGACTGACTTAGATGACAGGCAGTGTATTCCAAGCATGGAGGTATTTTAAGCCAAAACAATTAAGCTTGAAAATACAAGCACTTTAAAAATAAATTATAGTGACTAATTTCTAGCTCTCCAGTCCCTCCCAGTGTTTATAATAGGTTTTCAGTATATTCCTAATTGAAAATTCAGTACAGATTTAGTGGATGGTTTTATCCTTTAGCTGCAAATTATTTTTCAGTTCTTATTTTTGGATCTGACTCATGAGGACTCTCACATTGACAATACCCAACCACATACTGGACTGTCATGTATACAACAGAAAAGCTATGTTCGGAGTAGAAAATAGTCATGTTGCCCAGCAAAATAAGAGTATAACACTGTCTCATAAGGCAGTCTCTCATTCTCTCAGGGCCTCAAGTATAATAGGATTAGGCCATAAATGTGGGCCAGGTAATTTTCGCATTGTCAGATCTCTTTGCATAATACATGAGACTGAATTAATGGCAAGTGTGTCTGGTCAGTAATGCTCATTCATCACCTCAGATCTGTTTCTCATATTAAATACTCTTAGGCAGGAGGCTGAAACAGAGAGGAACCAGAATTTCAAATTTGCAAAGACACTGTACCATTCTTGCCTTATGTAATATTTGTAATTTGTACCTTTTGCATGTGAAGAAAGAGAAATGAAGCTGTAAGAACACCATAACAGAAGTCTCAGTAGTCTCTTGTTGATTCATTTCATGAAAATGGACAAATTTTCAGCTAAAGAGTCCTGGAACTTCAATATAAAAATAGATATTATGGCCCATTTTCTGATGAAAGCAAGCTGAACTTTTACTTCCACTTTAACCACAGTGTAAATAATTTGAGGGAATCAACACTTCACTGATTGCTCTCCTCCCCCTAAAGATACTCTTTACTGTAACAGAGGAAATGTTCATCTCCCCTGTGAGCAATCCCTCCTTCTCACTGAGCTGCTAGTTTGATCTGTGGTCAAACAAAAACATGGCAGAGCTGCCTGAGTTCTGATGGGAAGGGTCCTAGAGATAGAGGGAAGATGATTACACAGAGGTGGCTACTTGACATTTTGATTTTATTGCTATAAAAACCCTTATAGGTGATATGGGCTGAACAACAGTATGAAAAAGAAAGAATTAAACGTTCAGCTTTAAGAGATTCAGCACTAAATCTCTTCAATGACCCGATGTGGAATCAGCAGTGGTATTTGGTAAGTAACTAAAGAAGGACTGTGTGGGATCTGGGCTTTTCATATCAGCTGCACAATGGAAAATATCGCCATCTCTATCTCCTTCTCCCCCACTCCCGAGAGAGAGAGAGAGAGAGAGAGAGAGAGAGAGAGAGAGAGAGAGAGAGAGAGAGGTGTGTGACAGAACTATGTTATCTAAAGATTAGGGCTGACACTACCCTCTTAAGCTGGAATTTCTATTTTTGTGGGTGAGGGTTTCTGAAACAGCTCTTTATCTGTTATGAAAAAGAGAACTTGTCATCTTTTTGTCTTCTTAAGTTTATCTGCAAAAATCATATTTTGCCAGGATAAGAGTCCTAAAAGCAGTATTCACAGTAAAAATCTCTTTTAGTTAAATTATTCTTAAGAAACCTCTAAATCACTCATAGAATACATTGAACATGATAGGTATATACAGCCATGAATGGCAATTCTTACTTGCTACAGGTGAGGATATCTGAATAAGGCTAAAGGAAGGAACGCAAGGAAAGTCTGTTTGCAAATGTCTAGACTTGCACACTGTTCTACCTTTAAAATACTTACTGAATCTTTATATGTGTGTGTGCAGTGAGTGGAGAAATTGTAATTGATGCTGCTTGCCTGTAGGGTGTTCTCTTTTCTGTTTTAATGTTAAACCTCTATAGAAGTAATACATGTTAATAGAAGTATTTGCTGCTGAAAATATCATAAAAGACAATTTTCCACAACAACTGTAACCTAAGGGTTAGACACTTTTGTTGCATAATGAATGGGATAGGGGATCAGTTCCTCTTGCCATTCTCTTCACCTAAGCAACAGTTGCTCATTGCATCAAAAGACACCTATCAGTCAATGCTTGTGCATTTATAATGTGCCCAATACTAGTATGTTTGACATAAATTAACTCATTTAGTTTTCACAAACACCTTATGTAGTAAATCTAGTAATTATGCCCATTTAATAGGAGAAGAAACAGAGGTGTTGTCAAGTTGAATAATTTTCTGAAATCAAATGATGGTGGGCCATGATTCATGACCCCAGAGGTCACACTCTTAACACCAAACTCTCATTGCTCCTGCAATTGACACACAGAACTTCTTCCTAACTTTGGATAGCCGTTTATGTGTGTTTCCAATCTCCTGTGATTCAGCTTCACACTAGCTTGTTGAATTCTTGATTTCACCTTTTTATGAGGCTCATTCACAAGGGGAAAATCCATTCATTGACACTTTTGATTGTTGTACTTATGAATTTCTTACTGACTCCTGGTACCTGGCACTCTTCTACTGTGACTCTCACATACTTGGAAGTACACTTATTTCTGTGCTGCCTTGTTACTCAGTTTTTCTCCAATATAGTCGTACATACTATAACAGCAAAATTATTTGAAAAGAAAACCCTAAATCTCCTTTCACAGATATTTATTCTGTAAAACACTCATGCATGGAAATTGGCAATTAAGTTACAATTACTGATGAGACCACATTCTCCTGAACATTCCACATTTTTATTTTTCTTCCAGAGGAAAAGTTCTAAAACATCCATCAATGACTTTGCATCTGACAATATAATGAGAATTCAATATGGCAACGGAGGCTCAGGACTTTGGGGAGATGGAAACACAGGTCATCAAATAAATCTTCAGTAGATGAAAAGCTTGAGCATGTTATTATAAAAGAAAGAAACTTAGAGGCAAACTTCTTTGAATTCATATAGTTCAAAGAGAAGTCACATAGGATGATTCATGCTTTCAACTGATTTTCCATTGGGATAGTTGGGGGAAGAGGAGCACTCTGATGATTTGATTGGCCCTACCCTCCACTTTGTTTTTCATTTCACCTAATTGCCTTCTTCTGAATAGTAGAGTGACCCAAGGTAAAAGAAAGATAGGTCTCCAGATTGTAGTTTAAGTATCCATTTTATAGCAAGCAAATCATGATTTTACCAATGCTTTCATATTTTGCTTTTGTTAGCAAGATACCAGGATGACTGCAGCTCTGCCCAAGCTGGATCTTCATGTGATACCTGTTTGGCAAAAAGGCATTACAGGCAAAGGAGTTGTTATCACTGTACTGGATGATGGCTTGGAGTGGAATCACACAGACATTTATGCCAATTATGTAAGTCTGCCATCCCATGACTCTGACTTAGGAAGCTGTCTATAAGCAGCTTCTCCATCCCTTCAAAGGAGATGGTGCTCTGATATTAGCCCTTGGCATGGTGGCTGATGAAAGGCTTTTCTCCTTCCTTCACCCTCATTTTAGCCCAACTTGTTTTGAATTTGTTTTTTATCAGTAGACACTGGAAAACAGTGGGGTCAAGGCTTATACAAGACCACATGTGTTAGGGAAGGGAGGTAGGAGTACCTACCCCAATTAATTGAAAGTCATTTATTGGATTAAAAAATTGTGGGAAGGAGATACACACACACACACACACACACACACACACACATACACACACACACACACAATGGAGTTCTTCTCAGAAATTTAAAAAATGAAATTACAGCTTTTGCTGGTAAGTGGATGGAAATAGAGAATATCATGCTAAGTGAAATAGGCCAAACCAAGAAACTCAAAGGTTGAATATTTTCTATTATAAGCAGAAATTAGAGTAAAATAAAGGAAAGGGGTAGGAAGGAATAAGATTATCTAAAGAATCAATTAAATACAAATCAATGGATGACCAAAGGAATTCTAGTGGAGTGGAGGGAAAATGGAAAGAGAAGGAAGGTTGAAAGGGAAAGGGGGGAGGGGAAAGGGGGAATCATGTACCAAAATTGACTTCCAAGCATGTATGAGTTTGTTGGGATGAATTCAACTATAATGTATAACCATAAATCTATAATAAATAATAATGATAATATTTATTGCCATGGGAAGATACACACACACACACACACACACACACACACATATATATATATATATATATATATATATATATATATATATATAATATTATGTGAAAGAGCAAGTTTAAAATGGAATATATATAGTGTGATCCTACTTTTGTAAAATAATTATAAAGTTTGCTGAATAAGTGAGTGGAAAAAAGTCAGAGTATGAGCCAGCCTTCTTTGGGGAAAATAAAGCAACCAAATCAAGCCTAATGTCTGTGATCATTTTCACAGTTTTCTTCTCATATCCTTTATGGGTTAATATCCCTGACACTATGAATGTTATTCTTTCCATGCAAATTCAAACAGAATACTACGCAATGTGAAAATGCCAAGTAAGAAAGGAAAGCTTTACTAGAAATTAGAAAAATAAGTAATTTAAAACTATATGCTAAATTGTTTAGGAAGTTTATAACTTGAGCCCAATAATATATCTTAGGTCTTTATGTCAGGGTGGTGGACATTTCATCTATAAGATTGTCTTTTGTCTTTCTCTCATCCTTTATACCTATCTGGCATTCCCCAGTCACTGCTCAAGCCAAAGAGCAAAGGAAAAGGGAAGAAAAAAAAAAAGAGATGAAAATAGATTATCACAAGGTAGTAATTGGGAAATATTGAAAGACATGGAAAATACTGAGAAGTAGCAGTAGTGGTGAAAGAATTCCTACATGGAAGACTTTAAGTGTGTCGATTTGGTTGGAAAGGGGGGTTGGACCTGGAAACTGGTTTCAATTTCAAGCACATTCTCTTTTATTAAATTGCATTTCCTTTTAGGGAGAGGCTGAAAGAGACCATATGGACCTGAGCCTCAACTCATTGCCCCTATTTTCATCTAGTCATAAGATACAAGAGTCAAAGTGTCACTAGCTAGTTCTATGGCTTTAGTTAAGTCATTCAACTTCTCTGGGACTCACTATTCTCATTTGAAAAATGAGATGACTAAACCCAGTAAACTGATTTTTCCCCCCAGCTCTGTCAGCTTCTATGAGCTAAGGGTTTTGTAATGCTCACTGAGAGTTGGATGCTGGCTCTCTTTGCTGAGCTCATCATTGCTGTCCAGTTTGTGTGTATAATAAATGTTCTGTGACTAGGCTAGAAACTATCTGCCCAAATGGGAAGAGGCAATGGAGAAGACTCAGGAAGTGCTTTTTTTTAAAAAAATGATGCTACAGTGTTATTTTTATTGTCTCTTTAGGATCCAGAGGCTAGCTATGATTTTAATGATAATGATCATGATCCATTTCCCCGATATGATCCCACAAATGAAAACAAGTGAGTAAATGTGCATTTTGGGGGGAATAAAGTACCTTAAAATGTTTTTTATCTTGTTTGAGAGAATTATACTATAAATTTGGTCCACACTTCAGCTCTCAGGAAATGTTAATATACATCATCCATATCGAAATACGTTGTTGCTTTTAAAACCAAAGCTTCTGTTTTTATATTCCTTTTAGATTCTAGAACAATAATTAAACTTCATATTTACAATATTCTCCTTCTTATATTCTGAAATTCTTCCATCATGTGTGACTGAATACTTACAGCTTCAGAAAGAATGCTTGAGACATAAAGGGTACAAACTTTGTGTTCTCCCTGTCTCCTATCAATTCCTCTGTGAATCTTTGTGCTATTAGCAATATACTGAATGTTAGTCACGAACAGAAATATATATGAATAAATACATGCGAATAAATCCCCACAACTTTGTATGGTGGTTAAAACCACCCTCATCAGTTCCCCAGTAGAGCCTGGCCAGATAACAGACAAGAGAACTGCAGCTGAGGTCTGGCCCCAAATCCAACACAGTTTCCAGGGCTTTGAAGCAGTTAGTAACCTGCTCCAAATTTCTACTGGTCATAAAGGCAAGGGAAAAGATAAGAAACAACATTGGACTCCTAGATTATTATCTGCTCATTGCAGCCACAGAGATGAGGGAGGCCATAAGTCAGTCCTTTCAAAGCAAGAGGCCAAAGAAAGAGCCAGAAGCTAGGGACTTTTAACCCTCTTTCCTAATACCAGAGAAATTTCATCCTCCAGGCATGTGGTCTCAAAGTGTCCATCCCTTTGTGGGAATTCATCTTTATCCATACTGATATCTCTCACAAACCCATGGAGACATTCAAACTTTCCTTTTCATTTTCCCCACCAACAAGAGTTCACATCAAAATAAACCAAATCCAAGGTCAAAATTAGGGGTTTGTTCTGTAAATGGTGATGGAAAGAACAAAGCAACTAAAAAGCTCTTGGTAGTTGTTACACAAAGTACTTCCCTTTTTCTTTGATAACTGTCTACTGATTCTTTTTTTTTTTTTTATATTTTTTTGGCTGTAGATGGACACAATACCTTTATTTTGTTTATTTATTTTTCTGTGGTTCTGAGGCTTGAACCCAGTGCCTCACTTGTGCTAGGCAAGCTCTCTACCATTGAGCTACAACCCCAGCCCTGGATTCTTTACCAATATGAGTTAGTCAAGTCAATCTCTTGTCTGTCTCTCTCTCTTCCTTTCTTTCAACATGTGGACAGAGCATTAATATTTACCTAAAGTTCTTTCTTGCTTTGGATGGTCTTCACTCCAGAAGGCCACCATACCCCAGAAGGGAGGCTGGGCACATGGACTTGACTTCAATGTCTGGGTGCATATTTCATATTTCTTTCTGGAGGGGTAAAAGGTACAACTTCTTTAAGTACCATACATTTCTTCAAGGATATGAGTAAAGAGTTTACCATTAATATCTTTAGAGATTAGAACATTCCAGTAACAATATAATAGGAATCACTGGTAGGGCACTCTTGAAGGACAGTGAAAGTGTCTCTGGAATGACAGCAGGGCCCCTGGATAAACTTTTAGCCACATTCCTAGGTCAGGATAGTGCAGAGCCAGCAGGAACACTTGCTCTTTTGGAACACAGCCTTCTAATGTCAGCCTAGCTGATAGTTACGACTTGCTAATTATCAGTGTAGAGCATGACCTTGAGGAAATCATTTACCTCACTCTGCCTCTACCTTTTTTGTGTCTCCTAAAATTGGAGTTAAGGCACCTACACCCCAAATTTCTGAAAGGAACTTCCTAAGTAAATGAGAAAGAAGTACATAGAATTCATGGACACCTGCCTTAGAATGGGGTAAAAAACAATAGCTTTTATTTCATTGGAATATTTATTATAATAATAATAATAGCTTTTATTCTACCCTGTCATTAAGACCAACAGGAAAATCTGCTTGGAGAAACATGGGTGCAGCCAAGAAGACTTAGCTAGAGGTGTCAGCCTCTTTTTTAGTTAATGTATCATCTTCTCAGGTAGATCCTGGGTGTGGTCCCAGGATCCAGTTGGGTGATAACTTGTGTAGTGGCTGCATAGTAAGTAAGTGAATACTTGGTGAGATAATATTTTCTGGAGTAGTCCTTGTCAAAATAAGAGGGACTAAGACCTTGTGTTAGTCATGTTGGCATTACTGTAACAAATATCTGAGATAAATGAACTTAAAAGAGGAAAAGTTTATTTGGGCTCACAGTTTTGGAGCTTGTATTCCGTGGTCAGTCGACTGTTGCTTTTGGGCCTGTAAATTCAATTTATCAAAGTAGATAGTAAGTGATACCACAAGCTGCTCAATTCATGGTTACAGAAAGCAGAGAGAGAAAGAGTACATCCCATAGTCCCTTTGAAGGCATGCCCAAAGTCACCCAGAACCTCCCTTCTTCCACCATCTCCCAGTAGCACCAAACTGGGGTCAGAGACTTTAACACATGGGCCTTGGGAGATTGTTCAGATCCAAACTATAGCAGACCATCTTCTTCCCTAACCACAAAAGGAGGATTCTCCAAAAACAACATTTATAATAGCTACATTTTCCCCAACTCAGGGAGCTCCAAAATCTCTATATAAGCATTTCCTGCTGTGGACCTTCCACATGGCATGGAGTTAACATGGCATAGCCCAATGGTTAAGAACAGACTTTGGATCTTGATTTCAATCAAATCTTAGATCTTCCACTTAACCATCAAACTATCTTTCATAGATTATTTAAATTCTTTCTTCTTAGGTTTTAATCCTCTTTTGAAAAGGGATAGCTATTGGGTTATTATGGGGATCACATCAGCTTGGACACTGCCTGGTACATAGAAAAATAATCAAATGACTATTGAGATAATGATAATGATGATGAAGAAGATGATAATGAAGAAGATGATGATAATGATAATGACAAAGATGACGAAGATGATGTCAACTATGGCATCTCACATAGCAACTGAGATAAACCTTATTTCAGTGAGAAATCAGAATGACTGGAGTAGTATCTGATAGGAGAAGGAGAGACAAGTCAATTTTCTGAGCAAATTCAGAATCTGCTATTCAAAAATGACACAATGAGCAACTATCAGTGTCCTGTTGACTATCAACCAAAAAGATAGCATCCCTATCATTTATCAGAAGATATAATAAAAAATAGAGTCACTCTTTTAGCATGTTATCAGGCATAAATCCCTAAGATTTAGAAAATGAATGGTCCCATTTTGTTAGCCTTTATAGCAATAGGAGATCTATTATCTCCCAATTCCAATGGCATTATCTCTCCCAACACTTCTATTGCTGCTGTTCTTTATTACTATGTAAATCAGACTAACAGAGCCATATGTAAATGCTCCTCTGTAAATCAAAAGAGGAATCACTAAGTAATAAAATTATAAAAGTACAGGTAACTCTTACTATTAAGCTGGCATGAATATGCATTCAGTATTTCAGTATTTCAACACCAATTATAGATTATTTTCCTAGTTAAATAGCATGTGTAACAGGGATATTTTAACCAGAATAATAGTAGTCTTTAAGTATCTTGTAGAATAGTTTTTAAAGATCAATTTGTTTAAACGCCAGTTACTACCATTGTTCTAAGTTAATGGAGGGTTCGTTTATCTCAGCTCCTGACTTAGGAAAGAAAAAGAACTGTGGGTCTATGAAGAATGACACAGACATACTTTGATAAGGTCTTCCCTATTTCTCAGTATGTGGAGGTGGGAAGTGAGGATGAGAAGAGAAAAAATAATCAAGCTATATTTGTACCATGATCCTACTGCTACTTTTTATTAGAAAATCCATTCCTATGTGTACTAGTACATAAAGAGATAAATAATAGGGAGTGTCACATTACTTTTTTTTTTTTTTTTTGGACAGAGGCACAATGCTGGAGATGTTTGTCAACAGACTGAGTCTATTGGCTCAATCTGGAAACTTGCAATTTTGCTATCCTGAGCCCTGTCTCCCCTCCTGTATAGATGGAGATACAAGCAGTGGTGACTCAGAAAGCACCTTTCTCAGAGGATGACAACTGAATTTCTCCCTTTAAAAAAGACAAAGAGCTAATCTCTCAGCAAAGTATTAGGTGTCTTCTATGTGTTCCGATGTGTACACATTTTTCAGAGAATGGTCAGGACATTTTCAGTGGCAAGGGAAAGAATCCTAATAATAGATTAAATAAAAACAGGGGCTGACAAATTTTTCACCCAAGGGATGCTGTAGCTTGCAGTGTTGCAAGATCCAGGAGCTCAAATAAGGTTTCCTTAGGACAGTAACCCACGATTTATTTCCATTCCCTGGTTCTGCTTACCACCACTTACTTACTTTACTTCTCAATATAATATTGCCTGGCAGCAAGAGCTGCATGACTCTCCTAGAACTAAAACTCAAGATTTCCAAGAAAGAATGCAGTTCTAATTCCTAGCATCAGCATCAATCTTTGAAAGCTGTCTGAGAGAAGGGTCCTTAGTACAGAAAGAATCACAAGGAGTTAGGAGGGCTGTTTCCTCAAAAGGGAAAAATGCTAGCATTCAAAAAAGAAGCAGATGTCTGCCTCCAGGAGGAACACCTTGAATTATGGAAAACTGTATTGCTCTGACTTGAATTCCTATACACTATTAAGATGAAGAAGCAGGAATATTTTTTAGTGGAAAGAGACCAGAAAATCGTCTTTCAAACTTCATGAAAAAAAAAAAAAAAGATAAATTAAGCAGAATTATTTTGGATGGCCCAGTCAACCTAGGATATTAGTATTCCGTGCCAGGTGGAATTAATAGATGGCTAGTGTAGCATTGTCTACCATTGGTGATGTCTGGCATTGTGGCTCAGAGGTAGTCCTTCCTTTTCTTCCCTCTATATCAGCATATCTGATCAGTGACCCCACAAGTCACCAGGGGCTTTCACACTACTCCCAGGTGTTTCCACAATGGAAGAAATTCATAAAATGAGTTCACATGAATATATTCTTACTTATTGGCCTTCCTGATTTGAGCTGGTGATGGAACAAGACAATTATTATCACCAGAATTTCAGAATGGATGCTGTAGTTCAGGTGGACTTAGGCATGTTTTAGAGATGGATTTCCCCAACCAAGTATTCTGAAATCATCAATTGTCATCTTTGTTGATTGAAAAACAAGTCTTTTTTAGGCTTCTGGCTATCGTCAGAGTTGTGAGAGTTCCCTGTTTTTCAATTAGTCTGTCATGTCCTGAGAAAATGTCAGAGTCTTCTTAGTACCAGAAAATCCCTAGGAGTCTTATTGTGATATATGGTTAGAGGAGAGAAGGGGAGGGCTATGGGGGATTCTTCTGTCATATTTTACTAGGGCTAGTCCAGGATAACCTAATCCAGAGTAATCACTAGGAGGGAATTTGAGGTGCCATTTCACTACCAAAAAGTAAGAGGAAGAAGTCGTGACTGAGGCATTGCTCCTGAATGAAAGAATTCTCATTGCAGTATCAATAGTTGCACTTTTGGGGCCCTAAAATATGCCAGCCACTGTTTTAAGTACACTACATAAATATCTCCTACAATTTTCACAATAACCCTTTGAAGATAAGTGATTGACCCAAGTCACACCACTGGTTAGTGCCAAAACCAGAATTTGAACTCACAATACTTTGACCCTAGTGCCTGTACCTTTTATCTGCACATAATTTTTTATAATACTGGTTTAAAAAGTCAATAAGAAGTCTGACAAAAAGCTAATATATTCATGTACCGTGGATTCACATGCAAAATAAACATTTTTCCTTAATTAAGGTTTATAATTCTTACTTTTTAATCCTCAGACATGGGACCAGATGCGCAGGAGAAATTGCCATGCAAGCAAATAATTACAAGTGCGGGGTTGGAGTTGCATACAATTCCAAAGTCGGAGGTAAAGTTCCTGTAGTTGGGCACTTTAAGTTGAAAATGGGTAAAGGAGACATTTCAACTACCAGAGGAAGAAATGCATTCTGTGTAAAATTTGCTGAAGGACTAAGGGTTACTTGTAAGCCAATCAATGGATCTAGATTCCGAGAAAATGGATAGCTGAATATAGCCTATACATCTTCACAGGGAAAATAATATAATTGTTCAATAGCATTTGAATGAAATCTAATTTGTTCTATGTTCTGATTTAGGAGGGATATTATTGAACACTTTCTAATGGAACAGAATGAGGAAGTAAATTTAAACAGACATTCCCTGCCTCTCAATTCTGTATATATTTTTTTCATTTTGTACCAAAGAATAGCTGCAGAAGAAAAAAAAAAGTAAAGCACATGCACATTATTTTAGCCAAAGGTTACCTTTGATGACAAATATATGTAATCTCTATTTGTTTTAGTCAATTTTCTTATGGGGAAAGCCCACTAAGTTAATTGGGGGACATTTTAATTAAAGAAACTATATACATGAGTTAGAGGAAACCAACAATGGAATAACAAATACTGATCCTATTACCTTTAGGCCCAAGGGAACAAGGAGAAGGAGAGTCAGTGGAAAGCAGGGAGAGAAATTTTTGGTCAGAGAGAACCACTGAACAGGAGCTTTGCCCCTGTACACACCAGGAGCTACATCCAGGCAGGGAGGATCCGGGGAAATAAGACCTCACTCTCTTCTTAGCCCACCTTTCCACTGGTTTCAGAGAGCCCTTTTGATACGGTGGATGTTCTAATAGAGCAGGCTAGGGAGGGAATCTGCAGGGACAGAGAAGATAATAATTGCCCTCTCCCTTTAAGCTCGTCCTGCCTCAGGGTTTCAGGATGATTAGGTTATGGATTCCTTTTTGAAAACCCAAATAAATATTCAGGATGTATATTTATTTGGTTTCTAAAAAGAAATCCATATCCAAATTCAAGATATAACTAGAGTTTAATAAGTTTTTATTATAATTGACATGCTCTACAAGTTACCTTGTTTGTAGTGATAGTTTTTGAAAACCAAACTAATCTCAAGCTTTATTGTACAACTGTAAAAGTCAGAGATAAGAAGACTATAAATAGGGGAGGGATATGGTTGATATATAGGTATCATATACATGTATATATATCACTAATACATGAGACTCATATTTTAAGCATCATTCTTGATTCTTTTGATTATGTCCTCTCAGAGTGCTGTGCTAATTCAAAGAAAATGAAAGCAGACACAAAAATTATGTAATCAACTAGAAAAAGAATTTGCTTTTCAAGTTCTAATGAACTAAACAGCTATAGTTTATTAAAGAATCACCTGATACTTCATTTTTTCAGTGAAAGAATCATAAGAAAATTTCTTAAGGTGACAAAAGCTAGTTGTGGCAGTGTAGAACTGAAAAATAATACTTTTGATTCAGACCCTTTTGATTGTTTTCATTAGTACAGTCTTTGATGGTCTAGCCCCAATTTGAATAATAAATTTCATTTTCTAGGTACCACCATCTGTCAATCACTTACCCTACCTACCTATTATAAGTAGTGTATTCTGTGAGTAACAGGATAGATTTGGGTCCAGATTTTTAGAGTTTAAATCCTGGTCCCCACTTTTAAATAGTGTGGTCTTGGATAAGTCAATGTATCTCTTTGTTCTCAGTCCCTTCACCTATAAAATATAGAGAATTATAGCACCCATTGATAATGGTAGTTGTAAGCATAGAAGAGTACATATGTCTAATGCCTATGTAATGGTGACTGCATATAAATATCCTCAATGCATATTAACTCTTATTATCATTAATATTTTACAGTTGAAGAAACTGAAGTACAACAATTAGAAAACAGAGCTGGGTTATTTTTTCTTTTTCTTCCAAATGCATGTTTAAGTAACTATCTGCTGTTGTTGTTTTAACAAATATGACTTTCACTGATCATGTCAGTTATATGTTGTTTTACTTTGGTTCCATAATGAATAATAGTATGAAAATCTAAGGCTGTGAGCTCCATTGCATTATTAGCCTGAAATTGCTTTTCCCTTCCTGTCTCTTGAATTCATGAGTCTGATGATGGCCGACAGCCTGTTGGAAAGCACAAAGAGCTACCATGTCTGCCTTCTCCTGATGAAAAATGATTCCCCCTCAGGAGTGAAATCCATGGCAATGATTTCATCCTTGAAATGATTTAGAAGAAAAGGAAGCATGTTCCTTTGCAAACACATAAAAGAATGGCCTCTGGGTTATTTTTAATCAGTGCTTAGAAACAAGAGTTCTTTCCCTATTTGTTAGTTTCCTATTGTGGACAGATCTTTTCAATCTGCAGCTTCCTGTACGGGGCCTTTGTATGGCACAGACTGGGCCATAGCCACTCATGTACACTCATGAGCAGGTGTGTTGAGGGAGGGCTGTTGATGGTTTTTCCTGAAACCTATTAGGTGATTTTGTTGGGGTGGTGGAGGGTAGGAAGACATTTGTAATTGCCAGCAAACATATCCATTCCTCTTATCCAAGAATGCTACTCCCTTTCAACCTCAGGGGTATTACTGGGAACAGAGCCTTGGGTGGGACAAAAAACACAGCTGTTTCAAAGTGCACAGCATTATCTCTAAAGGGCAGACAAAAAAAGTTTACAGAAGCACTGACATTTCCCTTCCTTTTGTGTTGTCAGTAGCTGGGTCACAGGTGTTGGGAACCTCAGGGCTTATCTTTTTTTGATTCTTTTGAGAGTCCTTTAAAGATATGAATTTTAAGGCCATCGTGTTTTTCAGTATGTATATATCTTTGTGTTTATTTTCTTCTCTGCTCAGGCATAAGAATGCTGGATGGCATTGTGACTGATGCTATTGAGGCCAGTTCAATTGGATTCAACCCTGGACATGTGGATATTTACAGTGCAAGCTGGGGCCCTAATGATGATGGGAAAACCGTGGAGGGTCCTGGCAGATTAGCCCAGAAGGCTTTTGAATATGGTGTCAAGCAGGTGAGATGTTTAACCCAGATGCATGAGATTAAACCCACCTATTAGGATATGAGAAGGGAAGAATACTCAGGTTATATGGAAAGAAAGACTGACAAATTTCGTGACACAGCCCTTCACAATTTTAAATGCAGTTCGAGAACCAAATCATTTCTCAGGGATGGAAGTTCAGAGTTAAGAGAGTTTCCCTGCTTGGGTCTGACATTGAAGAAAAATTCATTACTTTAGGATATTTACTTTGAAATCCTTCTAGACAATTTTCCTTTCTCATTTTTCTGCTACTTTGGGTCTTTCACTAGGTAAGCTAATACCCAGATTCTGAAAATGCATTCTTGAATACAGCAACCTGCTTCCTCTGGCTCAGCACACACCCCTGCAGTACTTGTGCATCATTTGTCACTTGGGTTTACTGCCTTCTTTCACAGATTCTAAGCCTTGAACTCTACAGGATGAGAGTAGAAACTTCGGAGAGCACAAATTGAAAAATCATAGAAAGAGTGGCCTTGACGAGTTACATTCAATTGAAGAATTCCTTTTAAAGCAGCTGCAAAGCAGATCTGAATAATGCCTGATTTTGTCATTCTATCAGTCAGCCAGAAGATTCAGGCAGAAAGAAAGAGGAAGTTCAAAGATTCGAGTGCAGTGACATAAGCCAAGAGAAGAGTGAAAAATTACTAAGGAATGCTGAAGTCCAGATTATGAATCTGCAGAATTAAAATAGGAAAAAAAAAGTGTTTGCTCAGCCCCACTCCAGAAGTGGCCCACAAGACCAGAGGCTTGAAGGGCCAGAGTCTAGTGATTTATAATACAGTCTCATGAGATTTCCAGTGTGCCTGCTGGGGACCTAGGGTTAAATACAAATCCCCCAAATTTGTCTCTGAGAACTTCACGAATGCATTTGTTGGGGATTTTAATGGGGTTTAATAGTGACCTCAGTAGATAATAATAGATGTTGTCCATTTCGGCTTTTCCTTTAGGGGAGACAAGGGAAGGGCTCCATCTTCGTCTGGGCTTCTGGGAATGGGGGGCGTCAGGGAGATAACTGTGACTGTGATGGATACACGGACAGCATCTACACCATCTCCATCAGCAGTGCTTCCCAGCAAGGCCTATCGCCCTGGTACGCTGAGAAGTGCTCCTCCACACTGGCCACCTCCTACAGCAGCGGGGATTACACTGACCAGCGAATCGTATGTTGCTTTTGTCTAACTTTCTCTGCCTGGGGAGGAGAGCACACCTTGCACTCACAATGATCCTCCTAACTGACCTTTGGTGGAATTGATTTGCTTAAGTTTGATGTCTCTGTCGGGAAGACTCATGCTTACTCACTTGCAAGGCTGGCATATATTGGGAAGTTTTCTCTCCAGAGATAATGACACTTCTGCCAAGATGATCTTCCCTCTCTGTCATTTTAAAACTCAGCCCTGAGAAGTCACCAAACCTGTCATTACACACAGCTGAGACTCTAAATGTCTTTTCTGCTTGTCTGATGCTTCCCTGGAAACAGCCTGAAAAGAGATTTCAGGGTTGTAGGGGCTTTATCACCCTTGTACTTGCTGATCCTTTAATAGCAGGGATATAGACTGACTTGCCCTTTAGCAAATGATAAAAATACAGAGTCTACATTGGCGATGTCTCCGAAGAACAGACGGCCTGCAGGAAAAATAACTGTGTCAGTTTCCCCTGAGGTGAACTCCTCAGCCTCTGGGTCCAAAGCTCAGGCTGTATGCTCAGAGAGCTCCTCCAGCCCACGCTTGCTTGTGCCTTCACCTCCATGAGTCACACTGCCAAGAGCGATTATTGGATCTCCCTTCAAGGGCACAAAGATGAAGGGCCATTTCTAGGTTTGGGGAACAAAGAGAGGCACTTTTAATTTAAAAATTTAAAGTCTCAGATTTAACTCTGGACACATAAAGAACCCACTAGATAAAGTATATAGGTCCTAATCTCAGTAAAATAGCAGGGCATGATCCAATTAGATTGTGGGTGACTGCCATAATAATTACTTCGAAATGCGTGCACAAGTCTCATTAATGGCATCTTAGCAGAATTGTCAACACTAATGTCTTCTTCATACAGGATCACTATTTTGTAACTCTGCTGTTTCTGCAACAGTTTAGGCAATAATGCTGTGTGGTCTCCACTTGAAAGCACTGCCCTCCCTCTCATGTCATCTTCAGTTACTTGAATAATAGGCAGTGACATTCAACCCAATGGTTCTTTATGGCAGGCGCAGTTCATAGCCTTTGAGACAGGCGTATCAGACATCTGCCCCACTTGTGTTCAGAGTCCCCTGGCTCTTGCCATTTCCTTGGGCATACACAGCTGTCTTTAGAAAATGGCCTGTTATACCTTTTAGAATCACCATTTGATAGACTGCTCTTCATCTGGGCCACCCTGTACCAAAGAAGGGGGAAGATTTTCCACTTTCATAAAGATTCCCCCCACCCCAAACCAGCCCTGGGAGAGACAGCTGGTGGATTCTATTTGAGACAGTTGCAGTAGAGGAGACTTTTCTTACGCAAACCTCTTCCTCAGCACAGTCATCTCTGGGGGCTTATTTGCGTCAACAGGTAAAAAGGGCAACTTTGCTTCCGTTGCTCTCTGAGGAGCAGAGCCACCATAACTTGAGAAATTCAGAGACTCCAAGCAGGAAGCCAAAGGAGGTGATAATAGAACAAATTATTTTTTTACACCTCCCTCCCACACATTGAAATCTCTAGCTAAGAACTGTAGTGCTGTAGCCTGGGTGGGGGTGCCTTGTTAGTAATTCTTTGGCTCAACTACTTGTTAAGCTAGCAGTGCAAGGGTTCTTAAAGCAGACTGAATGAAAGTCTTTCTGCTTTCTTCCCTTTATCTCTGTAACCTTCATTACCCTAAAGAAAGCCTACATAATTCCTGATATGCAATAATATTGCATTTCCTAGGCAGGATCTCACTCAAACCTCAGAATAGGAGTCAGGAAATGTAAATATCATTTTACAGATGGGGAGCCAAGTGATATGCCCAAGGAATACATCTAATACATAGCAGTTCTAGAATGTGAACCCAGAACTAATCCAACACTTTTTCATTTTTAAAACACACCATTTTCAACAAAGTGCAAATGGAGACACTAACCCAAAGATGTCAAATCTAGTCCCAGAGCATGAAAACTACACACTAAGCAGATCCTGTGCAAGTAGCTCAAGATCAGGATGGCTTAACATCCTTGTGCTGAAGAGGCAGCTAAATGTTAGTCCAAAGGGCAAAAGGAGTTTTATATGAGGCAGAATTTCTAAATATTACAGACCAAACACAATGGACCTGATGATTAATGGGCCAGCATGATTCACAGTGATGTCAAAACAGTTCCTTTTTTATAGACAGCGCTTCATTTGGGAATCTCAGAAGAGAAAATATTCATAGTGGGAGTACTTCATCCCCTGAAAAGGCATCTTGCTGCCAGAATTGTAGACAAGTTGCATATAGAGGAGAGGGAACTAAAATATCAGCAGATGGCAAACATCCGCTCATGGTTTAGAGGAGGAAGTAGGGAATCGAATCAGCTGAGTTTCCTGGTCATAGCAGATGCAGACCTTGGTGTGGTTACCTTGTCTCACACTTGTCATATGTCCTACCTCTCTCTCCTCCCTATTACCATCCAGACAAGTGCTGACCTGCATAACGACTGTACTGAGACCCACACGGGCACCTCTGCCTCTGCACCTCTGGCTGCTGGCATCTTCGCTCTGGCCTTGGAAGCAAAGTAAGAACCAGAAATCTTCTAATCACCTTTACTGAGGCTGCTTCTCCTTGTTAGTAATACTAGTTATTTCCTGAATACATGGTTACAGTAGAAATTTTGGAAAACTACAAAACAGTAGTAAAGATAAGCTTTCTTCCTGACACTTTGAGATAACTTTTGTCAGCTATCAGTGTAGATTAAATACACATATCTTACAAAATTAAGATTCTGTTATGCACATTATTTTGTAGTTGTTTTTATAATACATCCTACAACATATTAAACATCCATCCATGCTTTCTCACGTCCAAACCAATCTTCCTTGACCTTTATAAATTCATGTTGTCTCTCCAAGTCCTGTTCCCTCTAACAAAGAGGTCTTCTTCTCCATCAGGCAGAATTTGATTCAAATAATTTCCTGTGGGTGTTAGGAATAACAATATTACAAAACATTTTTTTTCAGAATAAGCTAGTCTTGGAGTTAATGTTACTATTTCAAGGGACATGAGAATTAAAGATAGAATTTTCATCTTTTCATAGTATAAATAGCAAATTATTAAAGTCATCTAATCAAGCTTAAACACTCTTGTCCATAAAAATTTGTTGCCATCTCTGATAAATTTCTCAGGGTAAATGCTCAGGTTGTGAATTTCTGGACCAAAAAGCAGGAGTGTTTTAATGCTTTTTAATACTTATCAATAAATTGCTACCTTGAAAAACTATATAATTTTCTATTCACACCAGGAGTATATATTTGGAAGTACCAATTTCCAAAACCCTTGCCAAACTACTTTTATTATCTTTTAAAATGTTTGCTAATTGGATAGGTGAAAATAGAATCTCATTTTTCTATGCTTTTGTTTAATTTTCTAAAGAAACTCAATACTTTGTCATGTAGTTATTTGTCTTGGCCATTTGACTGCTTCTTTATGGCCTTCATTTTGTTTAATGAAGAAAATCTATCAGTATTTTATCAATTTGACATTTACTTTTTAATTTATTTATAGGTCATTTTTAGTCTAATGAAGTTAGAATGTAAATAGACATGTTTGCCAGTCTGTTACTTTAAAGCTACTTTCTTTGCTTTAAAGCTCAGAAAAATCTGCACAGCCAAAAACTGGATTCATTTGTCTTTTATTTTGGTTCCTTTGTCATACTTAAATTCTAAATCTCCTGGAATTTCTTTTGGTGTAGGATGTCTGTTTTCCCCCAAAATAGTTACTTCAACAATCTAATACTTAATAATGAATAAGAAAACTAATCATCTTATATGACAAATCACAGATTTTTTATTTTTCCTTATTCCTACTTCCTGCTGTTGTGTGGTGACAGCAAGTCTTGTAAACTAGTATTGTCCTTCCCAATAAGAAGGTTGTTCTAGAAGAAGGTACACTTTATCTCTAGAGAGAGGACAATGCAGTCTCCTCATGCCATGTTCAGTGAACTATGTTCACAGGAGCAGTGGAACAGAACATCTTTGCCTTTGCCACAACTGAAAAGCCCAGAAGTTGCCGAACCTTTGTCCAGGAGAGGCCAGCATAGCTCTAGGAGCCTTGGGGCTCCCGGTGGTAATGTGGTATAGTTCCTGGGTATCTCAGCAATGGCATAGCCACAGTGGCTAAGCAAGACAGTCTGCCAAAGATCTTACAAAGAGTCTAGCTGCTTGGAAGGACTGAGATGTTTGATGAGGAAAGAAAGAAATCCAGGTACTTGATCAAAAATAGATTGGGGGGCTAACAGAAAAGCTATATTTAGAATCTGAGTTCACTTGTAATAGGGAGGGATAGACAGAAGACAAAATTCCATGAACACAAGCTATAACTGGAACCAGAAGATCCAAACCAATGTTGAAGAAAAAAATAGTCCAAGCAAGGAAATATACTACTAGTTGTCTGGCTTTAAGCAAGGTAATTCACATGTAGGGCTTCATCTGTCCAGTTGTAAAATGAATGAAAGGGTCAAACACACCAATTTTTTTCAAACTTCTTCCCTTTATAAAATTCTCAGATTTGAAATCAAAGATAAGGGTATATAGAGATAATCCAACATGACTTGTTGAGGTTGGTGGTAAAGGGTCTAAATATGAAACAGAGTATTTATGATCTCAGAATACAGATCATTAGTCACTGGGAGATGTTAAAACAAAGCCAGCCTTAAAATCATAAGTGTAGAGTCTTTCTTCTCTTCCCTACACTTGTCAGATGCATGTAAATATAACAACGAGGCCTAGCCTACTTTTGTCTAATGATGAATATGTTAGAAATAGTCATCTAGCCGAACACTTGAATAAATTCCAGTCAAAACCAGAAATTTTTGAAGTTTAATTGCTGGTTCCTAAAATGTCAAACCTTCTTTTTCTACATAAGGAGAAAATCATCTAAGAATGACCTAGTCTCATTAATTTCATTTGTCTCTGATGAGACTTTCTAAAGCAGGGTTTGTATTGCACAAGGCTGGGTCCCTGAGGTCCATGAATGTCTTTGCAACTAAATGCAGAATTGCTTATGAGTGTGTTTGAAATTTTCTGGGAGTGGTATGTAGGTTCCACAGCATTCTGTCTATGCTATCCCAAGTGCAAATCATAAGAATTCAGTTCCCTTTATTTTTATTCAGAAGTGAGATGGACATGATCTGTCTTAACATTTATAATTTCTCAGTAAGATAGATATGATCTGTCTTAATTTTATGTCTTTCTTTCCAAGTTACATAGAAGTTATTGAGATTTCTGTTCTCAATTGGATTGGATGGTTCAATTGCCTATACCAAGATTATTAGATAATAAAATCTCAATACCAACATTTCTAGATGTGTGATCAAGTTTTATATCTAGACACTCAAGATTCAGAAAATCACTTAAATAGGTACCATCCCTTAAGAATCAACTGGATGATGAAAAACTCTGAACTAAACTTATCAAGAATAATGAGATCAATATTTATCCGTTTTGTACTACATGCCATACACTTATATGTATTAATTCTAATCCTTGCAACATTCCTATAACATAGAAATTATTAATTGGATTTTATCAATGAAGTAATTGAGGCTTAGAGAAGTTGATAAATATAACCAAAATCCCACAAAGAGATTTATACTCAGGTCTATCTGCCCCCAAAACTATGCTATCAGCAATTACACTATGTTGCCTTCACAGCCTTGGGAGAGAGGAATGTTGAGTGGATGCCTTACATTCCATCAAATAAAGGAGGGTTAAGAAGATTGAAGTAAATGAACACATATTTATGAGTTGCTCCTAAGTGTCCTGCTACACTGTGTATTAGCTGCTTTAAATGTGATGAAGGTAGAGAAATAAGGAAAGAAAAAGAGAAAATGTATTTTGGATTGACATATGTATAGGGGGATGTTTCCCTTCCCAAGAACAGTGTTTTTTGAATGCTGGCATAGATACTAGTCACCTGAGGAGTTTATTTAACATCAGGTTTCCAGATCCTATTGCCAGCAACTCAGATTCTGAAGTTTCCCCTACACCCCAGGTTTTGCCATTTTTAGCAAGTACCTAGGCATTTTAATGTTATTGGTACTTTCACCTAACTTTGAGAAACAACTGCTATAAAGAACTATTTTATATAGCCTTTTCCAGATGTCCATTAGGTACCTTAATATCTTAATAGGCATATCTTAGAGATAAATGTTAAGAAATAAATGCCTTACATCATGCCTGTGGCACCTTCGTTATTAAGTAGTGAATATACCTAAGAAAGCTGGAAGACAATCACCTTGGTCTATGCATGAAACCTCAAAAAGAATCATAATAATTTTTAATAAGGGAGAACAATTCTGAGGTGAACCATGGATCCCTTCATACCTTTGGAGGTACTAAACAAACAGGCAAGCCAATTTTCTGTTTTTATTGAAGTCTAGAAACATAGATTCTCAATAATGCATATGGAACCTTTGGGAGTGGGGGAAAAAATCATAAGAAAAAAAATCTTTGTTGTTGAAAATGTTAGAAAGGCCAAAGTAAAAAATACTCAACATCTGGACTCACCAGGGTGTGTGATTAGGCCAAACAGGTAGCCTCTACAATTTTCACTTTGGAATTAATTTTGTCTCCAGACCTACATCTCTTCTAATGAGAAACAATGCTTCAGTTCACCATTTAATTCTGTAATGCTTATTTTCTGTAAACACCCTTGATTAGCAACACAATGCAGTTCTAAAATTTTTAATTATTGTGGATGCAGTTGAGCATTAATCCACAAAGGAAGGCTGTCAGGAACAAGTTTGCACTATTGTTAACAGCTGTTTTTCATTTATGAGCTGCAAACACACAAATGAAGAATAACTCTGTTAGGAAAATGTGTTTAACTTTCCTAATTGTATGACAGTGAAGCTCTTTAAATATTTTTCAAAGACTATATAGGATAAATTTTTAAAAAACAGTACAACTTGCAATTAAATATTAAATAAATGTTCCACTTTAGAAATATAGAAAGTGTAAGCTTTGTAGTTTGATTATCAGCTCCCTGACATATACTTTTTTCATACTTTTCCTCATTCCTACCCTCTTAAGTACACCTACATACATTGAGGATACAAATGGAAAACTGGTTTGTTGCCCATTGACCACCTTGATAGGAGACTTTTTACTTAAGACTCCTTTTGAAAGACTGGAAGAAAACACACGTTTCAATAAAGTGCATTATAGGATACGATTAGGTTCTACCTTGAGAAAATAGCCATTTCTGCTCACTCAGTTAATGGTTCCTGAAGGTGGGATAACCAAAAAAAAAAAAAAAAAAAACAAGAGCTAAGAAAAGGTATGTATGGAGCTGGGTTGTAACTCAGTGTTGGAGCACTTGCCTTGCACTTGTGAAGCACTGGGTTTGATCCTCAGCACCACATAAAAATAAAGATATTGTGTTCACTTCTGACTAAAAAAAAGTTTTTTAAAAAAAGTGTTTATAATATTAGGCAGATAGAATATCTGAACAGTAAGGAATTCTAGAGACTGTCATATTCTACCCTTTCATATTATAAATGAGTTAACTCAGGCCCAGAGAGATAAAGTAGTTGGATCACCCAGTTCTTCGATAGTAGAATGCAATTTAATGTGTTTTCTACTGCTCCCTATTCTGACCCCATGATTTGAAATGATTTATAATTGTCTTAATTGGTCATATTGTGTAATCTTTCTACCAGCTCCTGTTATTTTCACTATGATACAGAACTGACTAGACAGATTTTTTTAACTATGAAAGTCATGCCCTATTCTTATAATTATTTATTTATTTAGGCAACAGGTAGACATGTAAATAGGTAAGTAGATATGTAGGTAGGTAGGTAGGTAGGTAGGTAGGTACAGGAGTGTTCTACCTCTGAGCTACATTCCCATCCCTTTTTATTTTATATTGAGTCAGGGTCTGGTTAAGTTACCCAGGCTGGTCTCCAGCTTGGGATCCTTCTAACAGCCTCCTGAATATCTGGGAATGAAACTTGGTTATAGACATGGACCACCGTGCACCATTATCCTCAGACATTTTGACTAGTAGGTTTGAGGTGGGACTCTAAAATTTTCATTGTTTACCAGTGTTCCAGTTGCTTATGATACAAGTGGTCTGGGATTCCCTGAGAGTCACTGAGCTGGAGTCCTTCTATGGTCTCCATCAATCATTCTCTGGAGTCAAGTAGGAATGCAGCTCAACTGAGAGTGAGCTGAGCTATCAGATGTTGGAGCAGCCCATTAAAGCAACAATACAAAATGAAAGCATTAAGTCAGTCTTTTATCACCCACTGCTATGGTATAAGCAAGAATTTAGAACCAGAGAAAGCACCAGTTAGCCTGATTCCATTTTCCCTCATGGAGCAGTGTACCAGTCATGAGGATGAGTACGGACATGAGGGTGTCTCTCTATAGAGGGAACCCTGAAGAAAAGGCTTCAGCAGTTTTTGTGGACCTTCAGGTGTGTAGGGAGAGAGGGCTTGTGGAGGGTAGGAGTAGAAAAGCACTGGGTATTGAATCAGAGCAAGGAACAGTGTCTTCAAGGTTTTTTTCCCTTTCTTCACAAGGAAACCTTGGTAAAAGTGCCTGAAGAATACCTCTGCCCAAGGCCTTAGACAAAGACACCTGGGAAGAAGGCACTCACCTACAGGAGTCAGGGTTGTACAACATGCAAAGAGCCTGATAGCCAGGGGGCCTGAAGCCTTGACTGTTAGGCCTCTCAGAGGCTGTAATGCCCCAGTTGGGCAAATAGGTTAGCTTTGGAGGGCACCATTATCTAGTGCCTGCCAGGGAAGGACTGAAACTGCCTATGGTCTGATTTGTAATGAGGAGCTTGACTCCCATTGTTTGTACTCCCAATCCCTGGGTATACAAGGGATTGTATAATCAGTGCATTTTTTTCCCCTGGGGAAAGGCAGCAAATTGAGCCAGATTCCCCCAGTGACTGGTCTACAGATTCATAGTAAGTAGGAATAGGAACCTTGAGAAGTATTTGGGTGTTATTTATTACATAATGCTTAATTGGTTAAGGGAAACAATGCAGGTCTCAAAGGCAAGGGAATCAAATGACTAATAGCAATAAGTTTTAACATTATATTCAATCTGTTTAACATAGGCACATAATCATTCAACCAACCGATATTTACTCAGCATATGCCCTTCCTAGCATTCTTCTGGGTGCTTGTTACACATCAGGGAACAAGATAGATGAGGATCTTACTCTTTCTCATGGTTAAGTTCTAGCCAGGGAGACAGACATTAATAATACACAAAACAAATATATTTCCCAGTATGTTTTAAAGTGATAAGTGCTATGGAAAAAGAAAAGGTGCAACAGGGTAAGAGCTTGGGAGTGTATGGGGAGGATTAATGTTTTAAATAGGGTGATCAAGAAAAGTTTCATCATATTTTAAAAGATTTCAATCCCTTGCCTCTCTAAGTAATCTTTATATTGTTGCTAAATTAATCTTACTAAGACTTCCAATTTTACCATATTCTTGCTCAAAAAACCTCCATGATTCCCATTCCCTAAAGGATAAAATATAAACTTTCTTTTGTGGGATTCAAGGTCCTCATTGCTAAGGCTCAGTATTTTTCATTGCCTCTTTCCTGCTCCAGCAAACCAGACTGTAATCTGATCTCACAAGTGGGCAGATGTCATTTCAAACTTTTTTTCAAGTTATATGGAAATAATTCAAAATGAGGGACAAAGTTTTATATTTCTTCAATGCAGAAGATTGAATTGAATATGTAAGACATATTTTATGGGCAGAAGTTTTCAGTACTGCATTTTGGATGCCAAATAAAAGAGCACACCAATAGACACTACAATAATATTGATACAATCGCAGAAGGTTGTTCATAATTCCTGAATAAAGATGCATATTTTTAGCACTTGCTTTGGGAAGGTTATCCCTGAAAGATCCTTTGGGTCACTTCCCCTCCAGCCCAAATCTCACCTGGAGAGATATGCAGCACTTGGTTGTCTGGACCTCTGAATATGACCCACTGGCCAATAACCCTGGATGGAAAAAGAATGGAGCAGGCTTGATGGTGAATAGTCGATTTGGATTTGGTTTGCTAAATGCCAAAGCTCTGGTGGATTTAGCTGATCCTGGGACCTGGAGCAGTGTGCCTGAGAAGAAGGAATGTGTTGTAAAAGACAATGACTTTGAGCCCAGGTAAGTGTCTCCAGGAATTTTAAACAAATGTATTTAAATGTTTGGCATAATTTAATAAAAGCCTAAATTTTACTTGTGCCTATCCTTCTAAACAATTGGAGAAGGAATTTGCCAGTGTTCTCCATGGCTTTTCATGGGGGGTTACTGAGATCTATAAATCGGGTTAGCATATTTTCATTTTTTTTCCTCTACAACACCCATGACTTTGCATTGTCTAAAATGCACCATTGTTTTATGTACCACTAGGAGAAAACATTGTCAGTTAAACTGTGACCAACCAGTCATTAGCTTTAAGATTAATCCTAGACTCAAAGATACTAGACTACTCTTTAAAAATGTATCTGAGGGTTAATGAAATGAAGTACTTTTAAACCAGTGTTACCTAAAACCTACTTTTCTATAAGAGCCATAGAGCTGTGGGATTCTTCACTTTTCTTCCATATAGGATCTTTTATCCATATAGGATCTGCTTTTACACAGACCACTTTTCACTCAATGTATGTGGCCACAGAAGCAGAAACTGCTATGAATATTTTGTTATTTCTGTCAAGGCAACCATAATAATACTGAAAACCCACTCACACAAAATACCCAAGCATCAGAGGCTCGAGAGCTGCCTTAGAAAGGCCTTATGGATAAAATCATAAAAACAGGGCCTTTTTGATATTCTAGTAATGGACCACTTTTAATGGATCCAAAACAAACTTTCTTGAATTTGATTCTATAGTAAGTAACATCATACTGAAGCATTTATGTTCTTTACTGTTTTCTTGTGCATGAAATTCACTTATAGCTAATCTTGAATGGGTTCTCCTCCTAACAGAGAGTGACAACAAGCCTAGCTGAGTATCTAGTGAAGTCTGATGTGTACACCTATACATAAAATTCATGAAAAGAGACATACACTTTATTTAATACTAATTCCTTAATGTATTTAGAGCCCTGCAAGCTAATGGAGAAGTTATCATTGAAATTCCAACAAAAGCTTGTGAAGGACAAGAAAATGCTATCAAGTCCCTGGAGCACGTGCAATTTGAAGCAACAATTGAATATTCCCGTAGAGGAGACCTGCATGTCACACTAACTTCTGCTGCTGGTAAACAAACCATTTTAAAAACCATTTCTAAGCCATTTGTTTAAATTCTTAAGTGTATATCAAATTATTTCAAATCAATTATTGTTCTTGTTTGTTAATAGAATGAAATCTCCTTATAGCTATTTTGAGATCTTAAAAACATACTTATTTTTCTTGGTATTAGATTTCCTTTGCCTTGTTCATCCTGTTCATTCCCAGTGGTTCTTAGATAAGCAAAGAATGTGACCTATGTCAATAATTCCAATTAATATCCTTCCCTCAAGTCATGGGTTTTCAAACTATGTTCACTTTCCAGGGTTCTGACCTCCCATTCATTTTTCTTATGTAACCGTTAGTAGTGAAAGTTATTCTGATAATTAACAAAACTTACAAATATATCTGAAATATTCAAGGAATCGAGTAAGAAAAAACCCCTGGGAATTCTGATCCATAAAAGAAGGTTGAAAAGACTAATACAGTCCTCTTAATGATGTGAATCAGGCCATTTGATATGATGTATAGACACATACCCTGTTCCCAAGCAGGTCCTAATTCAGATGTGAGAGCTGGTTGGACCTTTAGCCACACACAAAAAAAAATTGCACTAAAGTTGTCTTGATCTCTTTCATATTTTAGTAGTACTCAACTGACTAAATCGGATTTCTATAGGTGATAGATGAGGAGAGATGAGCTCCCTCTGTGGTCCCCTTTCTAGGATATAAACTGGAGTTTTGGATTAGCCTCTGTTAATTTTAGAGTTATGTTTTCTAGATGTCTTGGATTTGACCTGAAATATTAGTAGGAAGCATTTATTTTTTCATTGATGGGTCTATAGTTCATTTAATCCTTTTATTTAGAATGAAATATTATTCATTTATTTGCCAAAGACTTGGACTTGGAAGTTTCATATAAAAAATACTAGTTTTTATATGATAGGAGGTTATTAAAGTAACTCATAATTAATTAATAAGTTGATTAAATTAATTTTTATGTCTACTTAGATTACAGACTCAAGAACCTATTAAATTTTTAAATTTCCTTTTACATTTCAAAACAATAGTTTTATTACAATATATTTTATATCTTTGATTCCCTTTTTAAATACAACTCATAAATGTCGCTCTCTGAATTCTGTTTATTCAATAAACCTTAAACACCATGTTTATTATTATTTTCTATATATATTTTGAAAAATTATTCTATGCAAGTGCTGTGGATAAAAACATTTTTTTTCTTGTGATTGTCTCCATCCTGACTTCATACTAAAAGGGAAAATTAGGACTAATATCAACCAGCTTTCATTTTCAGTTATCAGATGCAAGAGTGTATCCCACTCTCACACATGTTAGTATATTCATTAACTTGTGTTTGTTGTATGAAAATAGGAACTAGCACAGTATTGTTGGCTGAAAGAGAGCGGGACACATCGCCTAATGGCTTTAAGAATTGGGACTTCATGTCTGTCCATACATGGGGAGAGAATCCTGTAGGCACCTGGACTTTGAGAATTACAGACATGGTAAGTATGAAGGAGAGGATGAAGAAACACACATTCACTTTTCAACACTTTGAAGCACTTCTAAGGTTATATCATCATTAATTATGGATTCTAAAGAACTTGACCACTCCTTAGTAGAAGGGCAAAGAATACTATTTCAAACAGATAATAATTTTAGAAGAATATTAGGCACCAGCCATACTAGAGAGAAGAAAAGATATGCTGATAAACAATGTGACAGACTATGGGACAAATCCAGGTGTCCCATGTCTGAGCACAGCCCCACATGTCCTATGGCCTTGAGAGACAACTGTATTCCCAAAGTTAGATGCTCAGATCAGCTTTGCTATGGAGTCTTCTGGAGTCACCTGAAGGCCCTCCTGCAAGTATTCTATGGTGGATATCAAGTAGCAGCTTCATGTTCAGCAAGATATCTTATTTAATGAGATCCCCCCACCAGTTTCAGTTACCAAAAAAATCATTTTTTCAAGTGAAAAAACTGTCAGCATTGATATTTGTTTTCCACATTGTTTTACTGGTGCATTATAGTTATACAGATTTGTTACATATTTTTATATGCACACAATATAACAATATAATTCAACCAATATTACTCCTTCTCCCTCCTCTATCCCACACCCAGGTCTCTTTCCTGTACTGATCTCCCTTTGATTTTTAGGAAGTCCACCCCCATCTTTGTTTTCCTTTCTCCTCTCTAGCTTCCACATATGAGAGAAAACATAAGACTCTTAACCTTCTGAATTTGACGTATTTCACTTAGTATGATGGTCTCTCATTTCATCCATTTTCCTGCAAATGATATAATTCCATTTTTCTTTACGGTTCAATAAAGAATCACTGTAGTATAATGGCTTTAATTCTCCAAGATAAATCCTGAGGAGTGGTATAGCTGGGTCATATGGTGGTTCCCTTCCTACTCTTTTGAGGAAACTCCATGATGATTTTCATAGTAGTTGTACTAATTTATGGTCCCACCAGCATGTTTAGATTTTTTAAGATAGTTTAGAAAACAGTTATAATTGAATTTTTAAGAATATAACCAATATGGGAAAGAAAAATTATATAAGGGAGCTCTGCTTTTTTCACTAGATGCTTGAATATGAAGCAATTAATCAGTTTTTTAATTGTTGAACTTATAAAATACCAACTTTTATGTCAAGAGTGAATCCAGTGGTTTCTTTCAAAATAGAGCTCTGAACATGGAACACACAAAATCTTAAGTTTTGACTAGGAAATCCTTAATATTTTAAGTGAGTTTATTTTATATTCAAAACACACACTAAAATATGTGTGTGCTTTATTTACTAGTCTGGAAGAATGCAAAATGAAGGGAGAATTGTGAACTGGAAGCTGATCTTGCATGGGACCTCTTCTCAGCCAAACCACATGAAACAGCCTCGTGTATATACATCCTACAACACTGTCCAGAATGACAGAAGAGGGGTGGAGAAGATGGTGGATGTGGAGGAGGTCTGTATGGCTCTGTTCTTACTGCACTATGTTCTGAACTGTGGTAGACAATGCAGTGAATGAAGTTGCATCTAACTTTTAGGCAGGGAATAGAGCAAATATGCATAGAGAGGAAGCAGGGGTAGCAATAAACTGTTTCTTCCCCAACAGATGAAAGAAATATTATTTTTGTGTGCTTTTATCTAAAATTTATTATGGATAAAAATTTTCAAGTTATTATTAAATTTCTTAATATGAATTTTGCCCACTTGTGACACAGCAAATTGTAAAAAAAAAAAAAAAAATCTATCTTATTACATGGTCACATACCTGATATTTGTACTAGACTGAGTTTTTAAGCATTTTCCACATGGTCTGATTTTAACCTATAATCCTTGTAACCTTGGAATGATAAACATTAGTATGTCCACTTTGCAGAAGGAATACCAAGCTAGCCAAATCACTTAGGTTTACTTGTTCCTGTTTAATAAGTACCATTTAACTTGCACATCTTAGCAACACCAAGAAGAACTATGGGATCACAATTTCTGTCAGAAAATTTCAGAAAATAGACAAAGTCTTTCATGCTCCTGGTTCTCGGGAGCTGCTGGCTTCTCTTTTATCAGCAGGTGGCCAGAAACCCACATTTTCTCTATCTCTGTTCCCCCCAGCATCTAGCACAATGCCTCAGATGTAGTACATAGGTTTTTCCAAATTTCCAGAGTGACCTTCCCTGAATAGGTCCAGCTCTGTGCTGGATGTTTTAGAGGATGTAGAAACATAGTATTTATATTTATTCAAGCAACTAGCTGTGTGGAAGCCTTAGCTTGGATTCTGGCCCCATTTTATTCTGTTAAGCAACTTCCCCTCCAGGATCCAAATCCCTGGGGCCTTTTCTTCGTGGCCCCTAAACTAGGTTCACCTTGTTAGTGTTTCTCCCTCAGAGATTCCTTGAAAGATATGAATGGGGCCCTTCCATGGTTAAAACACTGAAATACAGTCAGCCTTCCATATCCATGGATTCCAAACCCTTGGATACAGCCAACTGTGAATCAAAAATATTTGAAAAAAATGCTGTCTATGCTGAACATGTTTACATTTTTCCTCATCATTATTCCCTACACTGTACACAACTATTTGCATCATATTTACATTGTGGTACTACAGGTAATGTGGAGACAATTTAATATGTACAGGAGGATATACATAGGTCATGTACAAACCCTATGCCATCTTATATAAAGGACTTAAGCATTCACAGATTTTGATATCTGTGAAAGGTCCTAGGGGACATCTGTATACAATGATTGACAAAGAGCTATTTCTCTGATCTTTTCTGTCCCCTCCTACCTGGCCCCTTCTTATAACTTGATAGTTTCTCACAGAGCAAGAAACTGCTCCTACTCTACAGCAACCAGTTGGTGACTTACAAAAGAGTTGTTAAATATTTAATATTATCTTCTTCCCAATATGGATTCCATGAGAACAGACTAGCAAGTGAAGGAAATCAACACACACTGAACATTTTCCTGTATTATCTCATTCAGTTTTCAAAACACCAGAAATGGAAGTAGTCTTAGTCCTATTTTACATGTGAAATTCAGGGAGATTAAAAAGGTTGCCAAAAGTTCATCAGTGAATGGAAAAATGAGGATTGAAACTTAAGTCTTGTAACTGCAAGCCTTGTGCTCTCTCTGCTCACCAAATTGCCTCTCTGTGGACATGCAGTGGGCTTGTGCTAGGGCTGCATCTAGGTTGCCTGACTAGAAATAATATGTTTTTTTCCTCTTTGTTGATGGCATTCTGTATTCTAGGAGCAACCCACAAAAAAGAACCTAAATGAGAACCCCCCGGTGTCCAAGAGCCCCAGCAGCAGCAGTGTGGGGGTAAGAAGAGATGAACTGGCAGAGGGGGGGCCTTCTGAGGCCATGCTGCGACTCCTACAAAGTGCTTTTAGCAAAAACCTACCTTCAGAGCAATCACCAAAGAAGTCTCCAAGTGCAAAACTCAACATTCCTTATGAAAATTTCTATGAGGCCTTGGAAAAGTTGAATAAACCTTCCCGACTTAAAGACTCTGAGGACAGTTTGTATAATGACTATGTTGATGTTTTCTACAACACAAAACCTTATAAGCACAGAGACGACAGGCTGCTGCAAGCTCTGGTGGACATTCTGAATGAGGAAAATTAAAATAAGTATGTGGTCCTGAGTTGGAAATATTCACACATCTTCCTTTCCCTTAGATTTTGCCTGTGTCTGAAGTGGTTGTTTTGGCATTGATTCCTATGCTTGTAATATCCTTTATGGTACTTTTTTCTTTGTCTCCCCACATTGTATATTTAAAGGGGATGAGCTCAAATAGGAAATCCAGCTTCCAGAATTGAGGATAGCTCTTTTAAAACATGTCTTCCCTGCCAGCACAAGTGAAGTGTTGTATTCTTTAGAGAATTGACACATGCCCCCATGCCAGATTAGAATGACTCCTTGAGCCTGTCCATTTCATTTCTCACACAAAAAAGGCAAAACCTGGGGAATCCATTCATTAGAAAAGTAATCTGCAAAAATTAGGGAGGGGAAAAACTGTTTCTATAGCTTGCTCTCTATCCTTGTCATGTGGTTCTTTGAATTTTGCTGCCAAGGAAACATTCAGAAAGCAGCTAATGAATGAGTCACAATTAGGCCCATAGCTTAGGTCTATCTACTCCCAAATACAATGCATACCAGGAGGGATGATCTGGTCATTGTAAGAAATGGATGGATTTTTTTTAGGCCCAGAAAGTGACTCTGGAATGTGTATCATGTGTTTAGAATGGTTCTGGAGTGTTGCTCTTTGCTTGATGTGCCAAATAGAGGTCTCTGTGGATCAAAAGGCGACTGTGACTCATGCTGTGTGCCATGGTCTTTCTATGTTTCTCCTTCTTCTTCAACTTTTTCATATTTGTTTCCTTTCTCAGCCACAAACTCAATATTCAGAGGATTAATTTACACCATTTCAGAACAAACTTTCACTTGGGACTTACTCAGCAAACTCCTCGTCATAATAAATTTGTTTAATAGTAACAGGTAACCACTTAACATGAAGAACCTATGTAATAACAGGAAAATATTCATAATGGAGAGAATCAGTAAAAGATTTTGTTTGTTTTTTACTTTAAATTGTGCTTATTAGAACATGTTGTTCTGGATCTTTGGAACTTAGTCTCCATTCATTACTGGACAAAACAGGATCTTCTCAAATCTTAGAACTGATAGTTTCCAAATTCTTACCAAATTCCTTCTATGCTTTAAATCAGGAGACATAGACTGGCGGTCTATAGGTCTCACATGTCCTGTGATATGCTTTGTTTGGTATGCAGAAAATTTAAAAAATTGGAGTAATTGTTGAAAATTTCACATACAAAATTTCACATAAAACCTGATTCTCAAACCCACTTTCTCTCACGGCAAGAGTTAGTTAGAGCTGAGTAACAGCTGCCCAATTAGAGTTGAGGTCCAAGACTCCCAACATGTTCCACACTATCTACAATGGTCACCTTATTCCTTAGTGTTCAGCATCCAGTATTTGATTTTGTCCCCTCCTGTGGTGAATGAATATGTGCAGAGTGTGAATGAATTAGGACTAAAACTACACTCAACTTTTTCCAGGCAGAACTTATCATTAAAATTCATGAGTTTGTTATGATATAATTAATTTGTTGCATTTACAGGCAAAAAAAGTTATTTTAGGCCCTGGAAATATCTCTGAAATCTAGTTTGACATATTCATTTAATCTCATCTCACTTGCTTATTCATTTCTATTATTCATTGATTGCCAGTCTCCTAGCCTTTCCCTGTGAATATGCTCAGAGTCGCCAGTCACTTACAATGCTGTAGCCTCCTAGTGAGTTGTTGTTTACAAACCTTCCACAGAGTTTGAACATAGGGTCACCCATTACATTGAACTAGTTCAGGAAGACAGCTCATTTGAAGTGGACTTGTTAAGACAAGCTTTGACCCTTTCTTTCACCATTTGCATTTGTGCAGAACAAGGTAATTTCCAGAGCAAAGCTCATGATACCTGGAGACTGCTCTCCTAAAACACTTGCAATATTACTTTGTTTCTGTAAATTTCACATGTTTTTTGATAACAGCATGTTAGATAGAATTTTGAATATTGCAGCACATCACAAAGTATTACAACTTAAAAGGACCTAGGAGTTATTAGATTACATTTCAGCTTAAAAAAACAAAACAAAACAAAAAAAAACAAAAACACCACCACCAACAAAAAAAAAAACCTACAAAAGCTAAGGTCCAGAGAAGCCAATGGGTGGTAATAAATGAAAGAGTTGGAGCTACAGCTTATCCTTTCCCCATTCCTAATATCTAGTGCTAAATGTATGCAGCTTTCTTTTAATCCTTCTTAATATTATCTTTTCCTGGTTAAAACCCCAACCAACTCATTGGGTTATAGCCAAAGGTTCACTCTTAGAGAAGCTTTAATATTTAGATAAAATCATGTTTGAATGTTTCCAACCTGGAATTTATTGTTCAGACATAAAATATTTTTGTCAATCTTTCTTAGTGCCTGTGTGGATTTTTGTGACAATGTTAAAGAGGAAACTTATGTAATATTTCCCTTGGAATTTTAAGGTATATTTTCTTTACAGGCATTTATAATGTATTGATGCTTTTATCAAACAGAATTTTAAAAGGCATAATAAATTATATTAAAGAACCAAAAGTTTTCCTGAGAATAAGAAAGTTTCATCCAATAAAATATTTTTGAAAGGCATGTTCTTCTGTCAATGAAAAATGTATAATAAGTATGTGTTGTATTATTAAAAATGTCATTTGTCTAATATCCTAATACAATGTATAACTGAGTTTCACATGTGTGGTCTTAGAATTCTTAAGGGAACTCCCACATTATACATTTGATGTATTAACCAGAGTATGTAAAATATATAAATCAGAAGAATAAATGATTTTGCATTAAGTAAAAAAAGAAAACAGCTCATGTTTCCAACAAAAACAGAACCTCCCCTTATACTGTGTTTCCCAAATGGAATCTAAAAAAGAAAAGTTGAATGTTCACATTTAGAAGTAAATTTCTTTCTTTTGGGGAAAGCAGGCTTTTTAGGAGGCAAATTAAGCATCCACTTGAATAAAGCATGTTTCATTATACTTCCTAGGCCAGACTTTCACTTTCTTGATAACACACAAAAGTTGTATGACTGAGCCTTAATTGAAATATTGAAGAAAAGAAAAAAGCAAACAAAACTAAAGTGACTTACTACGTGTAAGAGAAACAATTTACAACAGTTCAGTGAACATGATTTGCCTCATAGGCCAGAGGAAAGCAGCCAAGCATTAAATCCCTCCCTGGGGTCCTCTCATCACAACCTCCAATTCTCATTTTGGATCTTCTGTACTCAAGCCTGATCTCCTTCAGGTTTCAAATCTCCATTTTGGGTATCTCCACCCACCATCTCAGAATCTGGTCTTTCCATCCCTGAGGATGCACCTTCTCCTACCCCCCCCCCAATACTTTCCTTTCTCCTACTTTAGAGATATCAGTTGAACTAAAATACTGTTTCAAGAATTAACTAATGTAATTGGGTTTTGTCCTCCAGGTCCATATATCTCTGAAGTCTTCCCTTCAGAATAGGTTGATGACATGACTCTTTTCTATTTCTATATTTACCTATTTAATATATATTGTGATGCACAACATGATGTTTCAGTATACACAAAGAAATTAGCATTGCAGCCAAAGAAATTAACTTATCTGCCTCCATCACTTAGTTCACTCCTCTTCTAACTTCTCTCATTTTCCCTCCTTCTTTTCCTCCTCCTCCTTATCATAAAAGCACCTAAACTCTACTTGTTTAGCACATTTCCCCATATACAATACAATATTATTAGCTCTAGTTTTCATGCTATATGGCACATCCTATTCATCTATATTTCTGTAACTTTGTACCCCTTTGATGAATACCTATCATTTCCACCCCGTTTCCTGCTCCTGTAACCACTGTTCTACTCTGATCTATGTAGTTTAAATTCCACATATTCATATATTATTCTTTCTGTGTTTGGTTTATTTCACTTATCATAATGCCCTCCCATTTCATTTATGTTGTTGCAAGTGGTAGGATATTCTTCTCCTTTACTTTTAAGGCTGAATAATATTCCATTACACATACACACACGCCATGATATTATATTTTATATATGTATATATTGCATATATCACTATATCTCACAATTTATCTCATTGTTCATCCATTGATAGTCTGTTTTCTTTTGAATGTTTATTTGGTAACTGTTGAAGGCTGTGAGCACAAACACACATATCCCAAGAACAAATACTGATTTTTGTTGTTGTTGTTTTGTTTTTGTGGTCCTGGTGAGTAAACACAGGGCTTTGTGAAAGACTGGCAAGGGCTCTACTAGTGAGCTACAACACCAGTCCACATTAATTCTTAAATATACATTTAAACCTATAAGGAAGGAGAGAAATGTTTTTCTTAATTGCCTTGTAATTGACAAGGCTGTGTATGTATGTATGTATATATATATATATATATGATAGTTTGATTGATTCACTCTGCTCCCTCTGCCCTGTGGACAGAGTGCACTTTCCTGAACCATTGATGTTGAACTTGACATGTGATTTACTTTGGTACATGGAATATTAGTGAAAACAATGCAATTAGGGGTCTTAAATGTACAATCCCAGTTTGGCTTGCCTCTTGATTTATCTCAGAGAGCTACTGCCCATTCAGCTTGGTTCTAGAACAAATGTATACGGGAACAGATCTAAAATCAAATCCCCATTCAAAACCAAGCCCAGCTCAGCCAACTCATAGCATGGAGCAGAGCTATCCTGGTGAATGCAGCCTAAATAAGCTGAGCATTTCCCCTGGTCAACTTGTTAGCATGAGAATAAATGCTTGCCTCTGAGTTTGGGAGAGTTTGTTATGCAACCTTACTGTGGTAACAAAACTGACCAATAGAATAAAAGTAACATTGGTTCGTTTCACCAATACCACCCCTTTCAAATTATGTCTTCTGGAACCCAGATACTCCAGATCAACCCAGTACTAGCATATAAGGATCAGACGAAAAGTATGATGAGGCCAAAGAGAGGAAAACAGGTATACGATTGCACTGAATGCAAGTTGATGGGGGTATACTGACAGAAAAATGGTCCTGGGTCAGAATGATGGATGTCTGTAGAGGTTTTGACAAAGGTGACCATCCTAGCTGAAATGGTTTACCTTAAACTAATACCAAAGAGTCAAGCACTTCCTTGGAGCCATGGTTTGGTTGTAAGGCTCACCATAACACTCTTAATAGTATATTAGGAAACTATGCAGAAAAATTTTACTAGGGTTACTCTGGTTAGGACTCAAGGTGGCTGAAGTCATGTCAACCTGAATCCATATACCAGAGTGTGAAAAAAGAGCCAGTATTAAACAATATACCTCTTAATTCTGATCCCATAACTCAACATAAACCCTGCACAGACTTTGAAATTCTCTTTTAAAGCTTTGACTTGGCTAAACATTTCCTAAAAGCAGAGCCTTAAATAATGATTTGTGTTTAACTAATTTATTTAGGAGGTAACAGCCAGAAAGCAGAAGTGACTCACACATACCCAAGAATAGCATGGGAATAGTGATCTATGTCCATTAGTAGACAGAAAGATGGAATGAATATTTCTGCTCACATCTGCATTGATAGAAGTCAACAAGAAAAGACTCTTACACTACCCCATCTCTACCTCATTTAATGCCTTGGAATTTGCACTCTCTTCTCTCAAAACTTTATACAATCCTAGGGAGAGGGGAGAAACATGATTTACTGAGATAAAGTTCTTATCATTTATTGGAAAAGCAACTCATCAGAAACAAATTTTTGATATTAAAAAATTAACTAATTTTTGCTCATCTGGGTATTTGCAATTTATACATGCAGCCTGCATGTTGCTATATAGAGATATTTGCAAGCATTGCTCTATCATCAATGCATGATCAAGGAGGTGACTACAGTCATTATATGTCCATCATTCTTGTGCTCTGTGCCAAAAAGGCACAGCCCACTTTCCTAGTTTCTATATCTCTACCATTTGTGCAATTTCAAGTCAATTTACCTGGAATGCTACAAAGCAGTTTTACTCTCCTCCACACCCCATACCATGGGTATCTTCATTGAATGATAAAAAAGAGCCAAACATTTGAATTTGTGATTCTTACCTACAAATCCAATGAAGGATAAAATATCAGAATCAATGAAGAAGGAGGAAATACTGTATTATATCTCTACATTAATTATGCTGATTATGTTTGTCTACAGAATGGACTATAGCTCCAAAGGAATTCCTGTTCTTAGAAGAAGGTAGGGGAAACACTGTTAGGTTTGTTCCTTCAGGACTGTCACAATTGTTTCCTTCAATTCCTTTATTCCTGTCCCTAGTATCCCCAGTGGAAGGTGATTGACAAAGCTAAATGATATTTTAATGTGAAAAGAGTAGTGTCCAGGCTTGGTTCTGCCCCCAGTGGTTTATAGTTCCTTCCCTCATCATTGATCCTTTTCCACACCCACAAGGGCCCAGTCCCAAACTCATTCTTGGGGAGGGTCCAGTGCTCCCCCACCTTATGCACAGATTACAGTTTACAGTCATTTTCACCTAAATAATTCTCACTTCCAAGGTAGAGTACAAGATGCCACTCTGTTTGGATGAGAAAATTCTTCTTGAGTGGTATAAATTTTGAAACAAAAATGTTAAGAAAGATTTATCATGAATAAAATATATATGAGTTGTATCAAGTTCTCTTGCTAAAGAGACCAGAAGGAATAAACTCACCTGTGAGATTCTATACATCTTATCAGGCTTCCCAAAGTGGATCAAACACATATTGCTTATGTGAGCATTCACTCCAGGTAGATGCTTATCATCTGGTCTGAGCATCCAGACCTTGGTTTTGCTCACTCTCTACTAGTGCTCACTAAGCTTCCATGACATGAATGAATGGCCCTGAACTACCATCTTATGATTTTATTTTTTCTTACAAAAATCAAAAAACTGCCAGGCATGGTGGCACATACCTGTCATCCCAGCAGCTCCTGAGGCTGAGACAGGAGGATCACAAGTTCAAAGCCAGCCTCAGCAACTGACTGAGGTCCTAAGCAACTCAGTGAGACCCTGTCTGTAAATAAAATATAAAAAGGGCTGGGGACTTAACTCAGTGGTTGAGCACCCCTGGAGGAAATCCCTGGTACTGGCACCAAAAAAAAAAAAAAAAATTCAAAGAACCATAAGCCTTAGATTGTTTCAATTAGTTGTTGCAAATTATTCTGTTCTAATTTCTAAAGGGTAAATAGAAACCATTTAAAATGAAGCAGCAATACAGAGTGACTAGAGGTATTGACTTGGGAGTGAATTGGAATTTTGGCTCTTCCACCTCCTAGCTGTGTACACTTGAACAAGTAACTTTACTTTATGGATCTTATTTTCTTATATATAACAATGACAGATGTTAAAGATTCGCAGTTAGGATTAAATAAAATAATGCATAGAAATAATTTAGTATGGTTGTACATAGCAAGTATTCAAAACATTAGTTTTTGTCATTAGTGCAATTGTGGCTCTTACTATTACTGTGGTGTTGAGAAAAGAAAATGAATTTTAGAGCCAAACATCTGAATTTGAAATTCTTATCTAGAAATCCAAGGAAGAATAAAATATCAGAACCAATGAAGAAAATGGAAACACTTTAGTATATTATATATTTAGTAGAGATTACATTGATTATGTTGCCTTGGAAATTGTCATCCCAATGTGAATCTACAAACCATACTGAAAACCATTTAATCATAGCCAGTGTAGACTGGACTGCAGTGGCACGAGAG